ACACCCGTGTCGCGCCTAAAGAAGTTTTTACACCCAAGTCGCGCCTAAAGAAGTTTTACTTCAAAAAATTTTTTCGACGATTTTTATTATTATTTTTTTGACGGTAGATACTATAGTCTTCTAGAATCTATTTAAGTTACGAATAGTCGCCATGTTTGTTTATGTTCCTTCGTGATCGTTGTGGCGCCACACTATGCTCGTTGTCGTTCGTTCTTGTACGCAGTTCTTGCTTGTCCATGTTCGTTCGTTAGGTACACGAACATAAATGAACGTACCAGAACGAACGGAAATAGCATAGTGTGGACGCCACAACGATCACGAACGAACATAAACAAACATGGCGAGCAATGTTCCGCAACTTGTCGGTACATCAAAGGGAATTGTTCGTTCACGTTTGAACTCGTATGTGCAGTGTGGACGCTACCACGAATGTTGACAAACATTTTTCTTTTTGAAGTAAAACTTCTTTAGGCGCGATATGGGTGTAAAAATTTCTTTAGGCTACACGGGTGTAAATCCGTACAAATGCAACGAAAACGCCAACGTGAAGTTGAACACTACGACGCCATAAGCGCTGATGTCGCGAGTATCCACTCCCGTCATGTCATGCGTAAGTCGAGCGCTAAACCCTATATGAACTTGCATTAATGAATCACGTTTTTATGTTATGTCCTCATGGAATAAGACTTTTCTTAGAGAATAAATGTATCATGGAATATAATAAATTTATACTGAATCTCGTTGAAGACAAAATAATATCTACTGCCACGGATATTTGTGTAGGTTGCCATGCGACATATCAACAATCATACATTCGTCAGCAGTTTCACAAAATCGGTTATTGATACCGGGGGTTTGCCGTATGAAATAATTTTAGTTCTGAATAAATTTTACATAATAACAACTAATATTGATGTAAGTGATGGCTTAGCTAATGGTTGTGTAGGAAAATTAGTGTACATAGAACGTGGCGATAATGATGAACTTCTACGTTTATGGTTTGAATTTCCTGGTAAGATAGGTAACAAAATAAGAAGAAAGCTGCTCATCATATTCAAACTCTTAATATCAGTAGGACAGCTGTGCCGATTCTCAGGAAATCATATTTGTCAAAAGAAATCATTTTCCTTTAGTGTTTGCTTGTGCACTCACAATACACAAATCACAAGGTGGTACTTTTGATAAAATTGTTTATGAATACAATAAAACACATAATCAGCAGCTTCTATATGTTGCATTATCACGAGTTACCAGCATTAATGGATTGTTCATCATTTCTAAAACAACGACAAAAAATTTTATAATGGAAGAAAACGGCCAGCAGGATTAATGGACTTAAAAACTGAATTCCAAAGACTTTCAACTTGTAGATTAATAACACAAGAAGAAAAATGCGAGTCCTATGCAGTTTCTTGCGCCAACGATATTACTGGATATTCCTAATGAAATTACACAAGTAGGTGATATTGCAGTTGTCCGCTGTGTGAACACACAGAATCAAACATTGATTATAGTCGTCCTTTAAATTTCTCCCAATAAAAACATATCAAATATTATTGAATTTCTTCATCAGCAGTTACTTCATTTTTCTAATGAGGGTGCAAAACTTTTAAACACTAATCACAACGAGATACCATTAATTCTTGCTGGAGATTTCAATGTCAATTTTCGTTCAGAAGAATCTCAACCATTAATTGATTTTTTAAATAATAAATTTAATTTAACAATGAATAATTCTCCATTTGATTCAACCACAAGGTATGGCTCGAATATTGATGCAGTTTTCTCCAGAAATGTACATAGTTTACAAAGCAAAATTTATGTCTCTCATTTTAGTTATCACAAACCTATCATATCATATATGAAATATGATAGCAATTAATCTATCGTTGTTGTTTTAAACTGTGTTATTGATGTTATGTGATTATTAATAAATGATTTTTAAAATTCAAATATGATGTTTTTTATTTTTATCTTAATTGCCTACTCATACAATATTAAAAGTTTTACTTCAATCGCGTGTGATCCTTACGCGCACTCTTTTTTATGTTAAAATGTGCATTAATGCATTAATTTATGTTGTGTTTATTGTAAGTTATTGCTGTTATTGACAAATTTTGTAAATTTGATGACTTTAAATAATTTTGCTCTTTCCCGCCACTTTAAATAATAAATCTGACGTTTCACGGTACATCCTCGAATAAAAAGATTCAAGCCCTCACTGCTTTGAGGTGTTTGTTTGGAATTTTTCGCGTTCGTTCGTGTTCCTGTTCGTTCTTCTTTGTATTTTCTTGTTCGACATGTTCGTTCGTGTTCGTTCGTTAGGTGTGGGCGCACCTCATAGACCTTATACAATTTCATGGACTGCTAGTCCCCATACATTTCTCAAGTAAAAAAGTGTCAAAAGATGTTCTATGGTATGAGGGCATACGAGGGTAATTTTGCGGCCGAGATATGTCAAACTCGATCGCTTGAACGTCAAATGAAAGTCCGTGTGTTCGAAATTGTTGGCAAAATATTATATAATATACAATTTATGTTAAACTAATGAATGTAATGAACTATTTATATATTTATTTATTTATTTTAGTTATACAAAGTGTTTAAGGAAAATAAGAAAAAAAATTAAAAAAATATTTTACATATTATAAAATTCACTGAAAATAAGAACAGTTGGCTAGAGCTATTATGGGAAATTAGAAAGCAATAATGAAATACTTGTTTAAATGTAATATATTTATTATTGGTGTTTAAAAAGCACAATTTTTGTGTGAAAGTGGCGTACATATTTATCAACTTTGCTTTTTTTATGTTCTTCATGCTGCATTCTAATTGTTAAATACATTTTTGCGACAAAGTTGATAAGGTCATGATAGTGCTGGACAAATTGCTGGAAATGCCTTGATCTAAAAAAATGTGCAAATCCCAAGTCATTCAACTTTCGGTGAATCGTGCTTTCATATGAACTTTTGTACATTAAATTTAAAGAATTTCGAATTAGAGTTTCTATATATAAACATAATTTAAACATTTCATCGGAAGGATATGAAAGATATCCTCGATTTTTTACATCGATGAATGTCGAATTTCCCGGAATACTTGCAAAGCATTCAGAACAGGTTTTACTGCAATCAGGAACTTTACCACAGACCAAACACATTTTAGAAGACATTTTACTTTTAACAATTTTACAACAGGTTTAGTTTAAAAACCGAGCGATCAACATCACGTGAACCCAAGTAACTGTAAAGTTTAAGCGATCGAGTGCATTCGACTAATCTCGATAAAGCTCGTGTTCGTATTTGACATATCTCGGCCGCAAAATTACCCTCGTATGCCCTCATACCATAGAACATCTTTTGACACTTTTTATGCGCTCAACTAGTAGTCCATGTATTGTATAAGGTCTATGGCGCACTTTAAGGCGGGAAAGAGCAAAATTATTTAAAGTCATCAAATTTACAAAATTTGTCAATAACAGTAATATCTTATAATAAACACAACATAAATTAATGCATTAATGCACATTTTAACATAAAAAAAGAAAAATGTTTGTCAACATTCGTGGTAGCGTCCACACTGCACATACGAGTTCAAACATGAACGAACAATTCCCTTTGATGTACCGACAAGTTGCGGAACATTGCTCGCCATGTTTGTTTATGTTCGTTCGTGATCGTTGTGGCGTCCACACTATGCTATTGTCGTTCGTTCTGGTACGTTCTTTTATGTTCGTTCGTGTTCGTTCGTTAAGGTGCTCCACACCTTAACATAAAAGAACGTACCAGAACGAACGGCAACAGCATAGTGTGGACGCCACGACGATCACGAACGAACATAAACAAACATGGCGAGCAATGTTCCGCAACTTGTCGGTACATCAAAGGGAATTTTCGTTCATGTTTGAACTCGTATGTGCAGTGTGGACGTCTCAACGAACGCAAACGAACATTTTTGTTTTAATAATTTTAATAATTTAATAATATTTTTTATAATTTAATAATAATGTTAATAATTTAATAATATTTACTTTTAATTACTGTGTACAGTTTGAAAATTTTAATATATTTACTTTTAATTATTGTGTACAGTTTGAAAATTTGAATGAATTATGGAATGGTCAAATGACGTAATTTTATCATTCATAAATGAAATAAAAAAGTTTCCTATAATATGGGAGACTAAAGACCCATTTTATAAAATTATTAGAAAAAAAACGATGCTTGGGAAAGTGTAGGCAAAACGTTTGTCAGAAGCTGCAGTAAAGAAGAAATTGCAGTCTTTACAAGTAAATATTAAACTTGTTATCGTACATAGACATTCAACATATATGTTGAGGATGAGAGTATGAAAATTGAGTATAGTTAGCTCAAACCTGGAATGTTCAGCTTGCTCCGAATATGAATGCTGAGGAAAGAAAACGACTCAAAATATAAATATTAAATACAAAAACTGAGTGAAATTAATTGAATAATTTATTTACAGTATATTTACAAAATATACACGAACAAAAATCACACAAAAACCAGTGAAAATGCCGTATGATTAAAGCTTACATCCATATCAATAATAAAACTGACGTTTCACGGAACATCTACGAACAACGAAAATTCAAGCGCTCACTGCTTTTAAGCGCTTGTTCAAGTTCGTTTGGAATTTTTCGCGTTCGTTCGTGTTCCTGTTCGTTCTTCTTTGTATTTTCTTGTTCGACATGTTCGTTCGTGTTCGTTCGTTAGGTGTGGACGCACCTTTAGATGTGGCGCACCTTTAGAAAACATCGGCTCACTAGCGCCGAATTCTCACCTACATGTCGATAACACGAATCACGGTTTGTGATGGAGGATTTTGCATTGACAGCAAGTGTCAAATCGTTAATCTCTTGATGGGTTCTCAATTAATAATGTAAAAGTTGAAATTATTTTATCACATTCAGAAAAGTTATTGATAAAACTTGACTATTATTTAGTACACAACTATTTTTTTTGTGAAAATATTTAAAAATGTCGGAGGAGACAATTACGTCTATGAATGATCAGGCAGTTAAAATTGGACTACCAGAATATTCACCAGAAGACATTAAACTCGAAATGGAGGATGATTTTGATGATCCCGATGTTAGTGTTAAATCTGAATCGTGTGCTGAAGATGGTGATACGTGTTTAGAAAGATTTATGAATTCCGAGGTGACAATTGAAGAAGAAGTCAAACAGGAGTTAGTTGAGACATCAACTTATGAATGTGACATTTGCAATAGATCATTCGCAAAAACACATCATTTAAAAGAACATATGGCCGATCATATTCATAACAATAGAAAAGAACGTCCTTTCAAATGCGAAATCTGTTACAAGACTTTTAATCAATTAAATACTCTGAAAATACACATACTCATACACAGTGGTGAGCCCCCCCACAAATGCAGTACGTGCAATAAGAGATTCACACAATTATCTAAAATGAAAAGTCACATGCTTATTCACAGAGGTGAGCGACCCCATCGATGCAGTATATGCAATAAGACATTCACACTATCAGGTAATCTGAAAAAACACATGCTTATTCATAGTGGTGAGCGACCCCATCGATGCAATATATGCAAAAGGGCATTCATGCGAACAGCTGATCTAAAAAAACACATGCTTATTCATAATGGAGTACGCCCCCATGCATGCAATATATGCAAGAAGACATTTACGCGATTAAATTGTCTGAAAAGACACATGATGATACATAGTGGAGTACGTCCCCATGAATGCAACATATGCAATAAGACATTCACAGTTTTAAGTAATCTGAAAATTCACAAGCTGATACACAGTGGAGTACGACCCCATGAATGCAATATATGCAAAAAGACATTTACACAATCAGGTCATCTAAAAAGTCACATGCTGATGCACAGTGAAGTAAGTCCCCATGAATGCAACATATGCAATAAGACATTCACAGAAAGAGGTAGTCTGAAACGCCACTTGATCGTTCACACTGGAGTACACCCAAAAAGACATTCACAGAAAGATACATAAATGAGAGCCTTCCTATAAATGTGAAGTATGTAATAAGGAATTTAATTGAAGAGACACATAGCACTTCATAGTCAGAAGCGTGGTGAAGATCAATGAAACATAAGCATATTTGTTCACTTAAATTCAAATATTGTGAAATTTTCTTGTATGTAATGATATGTATAAATAGTATGAAATATACAGTAAACACTACATTACTTTTGTTTCATTACATGGACTGTAGAATCAAAGTAAAAGTTTAGGTATTTGTTTTATTTATTTTCAATACAGCAATGTGTAGTTATTGTTTCACGATTTTATAAAGAATTTTATTACCTTTTTATTGATATTTAAAAATATATATATGTCTTCTAACAAAGTTTGAAGATATTGTGCAAAAATTGAAAAAATGTTCGTTGGTAGTAACATTATGTGGACTGTAAAATTAAAGCCAAAATTTGAGTATTTGTTTTATTGAAGTAAAACGTCTTTAGGCGCGACTAGGATATAAATACGTACAAATGCAACGGAAGTGTGTTCGTTCGCTCTTAATGAGATCATTTCTATACGGGTCGATTGTGATTAGTAGTCGTGTATGTAAAGAGATCTGTCGTATGCGTACCGATATTAACAAGGAAATCGGCATAGATAAACATTTTAAAGTTACGTCGTAGTACAAATCTTGATTTAATGAACAATGCCTGAATCAGAAGAATATTTTATTCAGTCCCCCATAAATAATTATAATAAAAATAATAAAACAAATGCAGCATTTGCGCCGTGTATGAAACATAAGTTTATTGAAATAATTTCTATATTTTTCGTTGTTTCTATAAATCATTGAAGTTATTGAAATGGAAAATATTTTTTAGGCAAAACAGATATTACAGCCGTGCCTGGGTATGTGGCCGCCTGCGTGCGAGCATTTTTTGGCCGCCCTTGAGAATAACATAATAGAAAAATATCAATCACATCACATTACATAAAAATCGATTCGTAACTTTTATGTTTTTTACGTTTCTAGTCATTCTGAATCGTTTGAGACTAAATTTGAAAAAAGTGTGTATATGAGCCGATTTTTAACTTTTGCCAATGTTTTCTCTGAAAAAAACGGTTAAATCAATTTCAAAAGTCATTTGATGTTACTAGACCAAGCCGTTTCTAATCAACTTTCGTATACTTCTAATAACTCACGTATACAATTTTTCGTACACGTTTTAGCCAAAAATCCTGCATCGTTTTTAAACATTCTGAAACTAAGCATAGCGTGTAATTTTTATGTTTTCTGAAACGTTTCTCAATGTTTATTTCTTGTACAATGATATGTAATTTTTAAATCATCTATAAAAAATAACTAACATGTTTAGAAAATTTGTACAAAATTGAATAATCTGCGATAGTTTTTCATATTGCAATTCATGCACTCATGAATTAATATATAAATTCATGCATCTTGCTTTAAGGCAAAGTTGCCACTTACACCAAGTTATACATTTATTAATGATTTGGAAACAAAGCTCTCAATAGCCGATTTTTGATTCGATCTCGCTTTCAATACGGCTGATTTTGACTACGGTCGTCTTTTAACTTTAATTCAGTGGACTTTTATTTAAAGCAACCGCTTTTTATTATGGCCGTTTTTTGTGTATGGCCGCCCCAAAAGGCGGCCGCCTGCGTGCGGTGCACGCATTACACGCTGGCCAGACGCGGCCCTGATTTGTACCAGAATGGCGCTTAGCGCTGTGTCTAGCCTGGGTGATTTTTTTTTAATTTTCAATTAATTAAAATTAGAAACAAAAAATTTTTTTCCAAAAGCAATTGTTTTGTTTGAACAAGCAGAAAGTTCTTTGAATCAATTAAATCGGACGCTTAGTTCTCTCAAAAACTGCCATTTTTTTAACATTTAGCTCTGTATCTCCGAAACCGCTGAGCCTACCTTTGCCAAAAACTAATAACCACTTTTCCCCGTCATTGCGAATTGATTGCTTTTTGGATTATACAAATCCGTTCTCAGAAAAACTCGATTTCTATTTTCTGCACTCTTTGCACTTTATCTCCGTAACTGCTGGACCTGCCTTTGCCAAAAACTAATCAGCACATCTCCTTATCAATAGGAATCGAATGTTTTTTGAACCATTCAAATTGGTTGATTCGTACGCCCGAAAACGTGGGCGAAAAATTGTATCCATACATACATACACACACACACACACATCCATTTTTTCTGAAGTATGCCAAAATGTTCAGAAACCTTCAAAACGTCGAGAAATGTAAAAATTTTCAATTCCGATTTTCGGCCCATTACAATAACTTACCCTACGGGAAGTTAATAATAACTTTAATTTACTTGTTGTTAATACTTTATAATCAAAATAAAAATTAAATTAAGTTAACTTCAGGTTTAAAGAGCCATATTTAAATATGTAAATCGCCAACAATAACTTATCGCGAACAATAAGTTTAAATATGTTTTTGAAACACTAAATTATAATATATTACATTAATTTAAATTATTATATATTACACTTGTTTTTGAGACACTATTATATATTACACTTGTAATATATACCATTCGTATCTCGCGCCAAAATAATTTTCCCAATTTTGAAATCGTCATTGATTATCATGAAGTTAACGTCATACCAAAAGCGCGATATTTAAATCGTTAAATTTTTTTTTAACTATTAGTGATTATTATTAAGATTAACAACTTCAATCAATAGTAAAAGTACATTACATTATTAAATACAACATTAAATCAATTTTCCATTCAAATCTGGCGCCAAAACTACTATTTCAATTTCACCTTGAAATGATTCATCTCCGTCGTTCGCGCTCGCTCGCTGTCAAGCGAAACAAACATCTGACACCATTCGCCGTATTTTCTTAACAAAACAATATTTATACAAAATTTATGTTCAATAACACTGTGTAAACCCATAACTTATTCATAACTATGACAGCAAGTAGAAAAAGCAAGAGTTGTGCTAATTATACGATGAAGGTAATCCTTAAATCCCGATTTAGATCAGCACGCCTACGTAGTAAGATATAGGATTTGTTGTTTATTTTTATTTTGTTTTGCAGAAAGTAGCAGCCGATCATGGAAAGTTCCTAAATAGGATCACCAAAACGCTTTATTATGGAAAACTACCGAATACTGATCGTTTTAGTATACCCATGTCAGGTAGGTTATGTCAGGGACAAGTAGGTCAAGATAAAAGATACAGAAAGAGCCCAAGAGTCTTTTTGACAATTAACTATTTAATTATATATTACTAGCTGACCCAGCAAACGTTTTGCTAAGTAAGGTATATTCTAAACAATTTCTAGAGAATCAAAAATATTAATACTTCAAGTGTATAAGGATGTGTTGTTTGAATTCTGTACACAATGAGGTATTATAAAAACAATAAACCCCATTAGTTTGTCTATATTTTGTCGATACAATCACACTGCAAGTTTTATACACTTTCCATAGAAAACATAGTATAATCCATACAAGTCTTTTTTGGTCTTTCGACTTATTGTTTACGTTTCAAGTTTTTCAGATTTTTTTTGGATTCTGGATTTTGTGTATAGTTGTAAAGAATACTAATGAGCTTATACAAAAATTTCAAATTTCTGCGAGGAGAGATAGAAAATGAATTAAGTATTTGTTCTTTGACCTGCTTTTTGAAAAGTTTCAAGTTACATTCGATGAATTAAAGTAAATTTAATAAAAAGTATTTATATAGAGCAGGACGAGGCCCAAAGGTCCAATTTGACTTTGAGCAAATATAAACTATATTGTAAAAACCAAACCAATCATATCACAAATAACACATTTCAAACGAACAATTATCTGACTACGTTCAGTAAAACTGCCAGCTACTTTATTATTGTAGAAATGTGCTTTTTTGATGTCTTTAAAAAATTTGTTATCTAGGCCTTTTTACCCCATAGACAGGGTAACTTGGAATGGCCAGGTGGCAAACAGGTTTAATGTCTTATTTTAATTTTAAAGGTATTTTCAAAATAATTACATTTTTAACTAATGCTAAGAAACTACTAATGGAAGAAAGTACTTTTATTATGGATTTTCAAAGATTACAGTTTATCTCCCGATAGCAAAGTCATGAGAATCACGGTTATAGCTGGTTATACATCTTTTTCCCTCTACTTTCAAATATTGTTAAACAATGCTTTACTAGTTTTTGACACATCGGTGGTGGACCTTTTTAACCCCGGACCTTCATATATTACTACAAAAACGGTCTCCTACAAAAACCAACAGGAATACAACTCCTCATGCCTCTTAAACTATCTGAAACTTTTGTGATGCATGTATTACTCAATCTGTACCTTAAACTAGCTGTAAGTGGAATTCTGTCTTGAGGCAATTATGGCATCGTGCCTTAAGGCAAATTGCTGGAACTTCCCGTATTGTAACGAAATGTTCGAGGAATACTGAATGTTTTCAAATAGATTATTATAAATATTGTAACATTGTCTAATATTTATAAGAATTATATAAACTGAATTGCAGAGTTGAAATTATTTGTAAAGTATATTAGGACTATAGTCAGAATTAAAAATAAAATCTGAAATATTTTCGATATACAAAAAACTAAAAAAAAAAAAAAATCGAAAATCAATTATTTTGTTAAGACAAGCAGAAAGTTCTTTGAATCATTCAAATCGGACGCTTAGTTCTCTCAAAAACTGCCATTTTTTACATATTTAGCTCCGTATCTTCGAAATGGCTGGGCCTTCCATTGCCAAAAACTGATAAACACTTCTCCCAATCATTACTAATTGAATGTTTTTTTAGATCATTCAAATCGGATACTCCGTTCTCTCAAAAATTCGATTTCTATTTTCTGCACTCTTTGCTCCGTATCCTCGAAACGGCTGGACCTGTCTTTGCCAAAAACTAATCAGCTCTTTTCCCTATCGATAGGAATCGAATGTTTTTTGAACCATTCAAATCGGTTGATCCGTGCGCCCGAAAACGTGACTGGAAATTTGTATCCGTACATACATACGCACACACACACACACACACATCCATTTTTTCTGAGGTATGCCAAAATGTTCAGAAACCTTCAAAACGTCGAAAAATGTAAAAATTTTCAATTCCGATTTTCGGCCCATTACAATAACTTACCCTACGGGAAGTTAATTACTAGAATAGTCCACTTGAAAATCACTATACTTTCCATCAGAAAAATATTTAGCGGTTCTCTTAGGGGCATCCAATCTTGGAGAGCAAACTCTATTTTCTACATAATCACCTTCAGTTATACGTTTGGTGCAGCTATTGTACTTCGATAAATTCTGGGAAATTATAACTGGGAAAATGTTATTCGACAAAATGTCCCTTTGATCGATACAAAATTTAGGTTCTGAATTTAAATAACATAAATAAAAAGTAATATAACCTAGAAAACATTTTATAAATACCAATGAGTATACAATTATACAAATGAGATCTTTCAGAGCACCATGTTTGAGAAAAATATGATTTGCAAAAAATTAGTGCTACAGCGCCAAAAAGTGTATTTTCATATTAACATTTCAAAAAAATTGATATTTTGAGTTTCTAGAAACACTTGCGATCCGTTTAATAACGTTTTTATGTATAAATAAAACTACAAACAAAACTACTACTAACAAAACATCCTATTAAACGTAATTGAACATCATCTGTCGAAAACGTTTGACATTTGACGTATTAGCCACCGTCCATTGTTTTATTTAAATTACGCTTTTACAAAAAATTTCAAATTAAAAATGTAAAGTTTCTACACGATTTTGAAATAATATTTCACCTTTCCGACAACTTACTCATTAGCACGAACTTTCCAAAACTAAGACTGGCCAAATCGGTTTAGCCGTTTTCGAGTTTTAGCGGATCATTTTATCGAGAGCACCATTTTTATATATAAGAAGATAACTGTCAGCATAAACAAGAGTCAATTAATTATTATTTCTTTTCCCAGAATTGGCAGTGGAGATGTTCTCCGAAGCCCATCGTGGCCACACTCTGCAAAGACTACAAATGAACTCGGCTTGCAACATATCTCGAAATGCCTGTGTCAACCCCTGCGCTCTCGTATTGGCTATGTTATATTTGGACAGACTACGTGATTGCAACCCTGAATATGTGCGACAAGTAGCCCCCAGTGAACTATTTCTTGTATCTTTGGTAAGATATAAAAATCATAAAATAGAAAATAATAAATAGACATCGTACCTTAAGGCAATTTTTTGGAACTTCCCGTACCTTAATAATAAATACTGCTTTTTAAATTATAGTTTGTAGAGCGTATTCTACAAACAACTTTGTGGATGTTTACAAGAAGTTTTTTCACATTTTTTTTAAATTTTATTTTTTCGGTAATTTTTCCTGTAGGGTAAGTTATAGTAATCGCAAAAAAATCGAAAATAATTTTATTTTATATATTTTTACGTTTCAGAGGTTTCTGAACATTTTGGCATACCTTAGAAAAAATGGATGTGTGTGTGTGTGTGTGTTCGGATACAAATTTTCGTCGACGATTTCGGGACCACGGTTTAACCGATTTCAATTATTCAAAAAACATTCGATTGCTCTTGATAAGGAGACGTGCTGATTAGTTTTTGGCGAAGGCAGGTCTAGCCGTTCCGAAGATACGCGGCAAAAAGTGCCAATAACGGTAACTCAGTTTTTAAGTGAGCGGAGCGTCCGATTTTGATAATTCAAAAAAACATTTTAATTGTATTGACAAGATGAAGAACTGATTAAATTTCTGGGAAGGCAGCACTAGCAGTTTCGGAGATGTAGTAAAAAAAGTAAAAAAAAGACTAACATATGTCTAATAAACATTTTTGACTGCAAAATGGCATTTCTTTTATTTTTTTTTATTGAGAGTCTATAAGGGGGCGTCCATTAATCTCGTGAGGGTTTTAGGGGGAGGGGGGGTTTGACAAAAAATCACGAAATATCACGTGCGGGGGGTATGGTAAGATATCACGTGTATTTATTTTTTAACTGATTTTTTTAAAAAAAATTAACACATTTTCAAAAAAAATCAAAAATTTTAGTTTTTTCACGTAACTAAAAATACACGTGATGTTTGGTGGGGGGGGGGGGCAATTTTGAATATCACCACGTATCACCAAGGGGAGGGTGGTCCAAAAATCCTCAAAAACTAGCTCACTTGATTAATGGACGCCCCCTAACCACTGAACCTGCCTTTCCAGAAATTTGAACAGTTCTTTGTTTAGTCAATACACATAAAATATTTTTTGAATTATTCAAATCAGACGCTCCGTTCTCTCAAAAACTGAATTAGGACTTTTGGTTCTATTTGCCAAAAACTAATTAGCACGTCTCCTTATTAATACGAATCGAAAGTTTTTTCAATTATTCAAATCGGTTGATCCGTCTTTCCGAAATCGCCGACGAAAATTTGTAATCGTACTCACACACATACATCAATTTTTTCTAAGGTATGCCAAAATGTTCAGAAACCTTTGAAACGTAAAGATATATAAAAATTTTAATTAAACGATATAACTAAGTTTTTGTGATTGTTTAGATGGTCTCTAGTAAGTTTTTGCATGACGATGGAGCTGAAGATGAAGTATTTTTACACGAATGGGCTGTCTCAGGGGGTATTACAGTAGCAGCCTTAAAACAACTAGAAAAAGACTTCCTAAATGCAATGGTAAGCATATAATTTTACAATTGCATGCAGAAATACTTGCAATATATATCTTTTTCCCCCAGGATTGGAAAATATTTATATCAGACTCCAAATTTTGGTCAGAGTTTGAACATTTAGAGCAAATTCTAGCCCTACGAGAGGCCAATAAGAGAGGCTGGTTTACTTACTCAGAGCTATCCCTTCTACTTCCTTCAAGCGACCTCGCCAAATTAATTCTCTGTGCCACCGGTATCCTAACCGTTAGCTACATAGCCAGTTTAATTGTAATGTTTGGAGCAGTCTTCATCACTAGCCAAATACCTGGAAATGCAATTAAGACTTATAGTGAAAGCCAAGACAAGTCCTGGTCAAATGAAACCTTTAATCAAGACATGGAATTAGATAGCAAATTGGATATTGATGTAAATGATTTATTAGACTTCAATTACACCTCTGAATTACAATTAGACAAAGATTATTTCCCCGATGATGTTAATAGATCTGCAATTGACTCGATTCTACTGGAGTATAAGAATTTAACTAAATGTTTTGACCGGGAAAAACAAGATTATCGTCATTTTATTAGAACAGCTACTTGGTATTCGATAATTTTTTGACTAACGTTTTTTTCTAGATGCTGTCTTCCATTTTGTAATAAACTAAACACTTGATAGAAAGAGGAACTTATTTAGTTTACATTCAAATCTAAATTATTTATATTTATTGGAACTGAAATTGCAATCATTTTTATAGAGATGTATATTTTTGGAAAGAATAAAATTTATATTTATGGAATTTTAGTTTCAATCTAATAAGTGAAATTTTGCTTTATAATCCAGTCATTTAAGTTTAAATTAGGTAAGAATCTCGGAATTTGAGATACCCAGCTGTAAGTCTGTAAATACTTGTATATTGACACCCTAAAGATGTCTCAAAACCTACATGTGGTAGGGTGTCAATACCATATGTAGGTTTTGAGACAACTTTTAGATGTCAATATACAAGTATTTACAGACTTACAGCTGGGTATCTTAAATTCCGAGGTGAACTTACTATAATGAACGGACTATAAGTATATTATTTTCAGAGATATTCAGAGATTTCAGAGATATCAGGAAGTCCGGATATGTCAAGATATTATAAATAAACGTAAATAAAAGATCCTAATATACAGATGCACATACTACAAATATATGCAATTGAATACTTTAGTTTATGAAATATTCCAAAATGATTAAGAGGTGTGAACACGTAGAAATATTGTCACAAATAAACGTAAAAAATCTTGATGTAGATACGTACTTAAATACTATAGATATATGTAGCTAATAGTTTAGTCATTTAAGCTTAAATTAGATAAGAATCTCGGAATTCCAGATACCCAGCTGTAAGTCTGTAAATATTTGTATCTTGACATCCCAGAGTTGTCTCAAAACCTGCATATGATATGGTGTACGAAACATATGTAGATCTTAAGACAACTTTTAGGTGTCAATATACAAGTGTTTACAGACTTACAGCTGGGTATCTCGAACTGCGCGGTGAATTTACTATAATGACTGGACTATTAATTATTACCCTACCATATGTAGGTTTTGAGACAACTTTTAGGGTGTCAATATATAGTATATACAGACTTACAGCTGGATATCTCAAATTCTGAGGTGAACTTACTATAATGACTGAACTATTAAGGCAATTTGCATGAACTTCCAAATATTTGTAAATAGTCTATCTAATTAATAACTAGTGGTGTATGGCTTTGTGCCTTAAGGCAAATTGCTGGTACTTCGCCAACCATAATAAAATATTTGAGGAATCTCAAATGTTTTCAAATAAATTATTATAAATATTGTAACTTTCATTATTCATATTTTATAGACAAAATGTAATAGCCTATAAATTGGACAACGATGTTTATATATGTTTAAACTTAATCGGATTTAAAATGAAGAACATTGTCTAATATTTATAAGAATTTTATATAAACTGAATTGTAAAGTTAAAATTATTTATTTGAGGTACACAAGTGAGCTTTAGAACTTTGGCTAGAATTAGAATTAAAGCTCGATATTTAAATAAAAATATTTTTTCGAAATTGAAAAAAAAAATTTTACAACTTACCGTAGGGTTTTTTTATAGGGAAAGAAATACCTTTATGCATTCGAGATTGGTCTTTTGTCTGGGTATGTCGGATTCAATACCGCCTGGATATAATACCGACTAAAACCTCCGCTTTGCCATTGCCTCTGGTCCCCACGGAAACCGCCGTAGGCATTACTTCGTGGGGGGAGGATCTAGAATGTTATAATTCTTAACTTGTTATAATAAATGTTATAATTCTTAAATTTATACTCATATTTTAAATGAGCGAAGTCCTATTCGCTCTCTATAGAACGCAGATCAATTAGCACATTTCTCGGAAATCTGTCTGTGGCGTTCCAAGCAGCCTCAGTTGTCAGCATCACTTCTACAACAGTATCTGTGGAGTAATTCTTCGCCTCAATATCTTTTCTACATCGTCTCATCCCGCGCACTAAATCACGGGCACACAAAGAACACGTGCTCAACATCTTCGATTTCGGCAAAACAATATGAGCAATGAATGCGGCAAGCTACCGTGTTTGAAGCGGTGTAGGTAGGCTCGAAAACAGCCGTGCCCAGATAGCATTTGTTTAATGTAATAATTCACTTCTCCATTCTTGCGATTTAGCCAGTCTCTGATGTTTGGAATGCGACGATGCGTTCATCTGCCCTTCACTGAAACACCCCACAGTTGCTGCTACCTGTCAATGCTGTTCTGCCTGTTCATCTATATCCCAACTTTTCTGGATTTACTTTTTGATATCTTCCTTGGTAAAAACTCCTGAAGCACTCAGACGATATATAGATTCTGCCATTCTCCGCGTAGTAACCACTGATTATGATGTGTGTGTGTATGTATGTATGGATACAATTTTTCGTCCACGTTTTCGGGAGCACGGATCAACCAATTTGATGGTTCAAAATTCCCTTTTCTCCCAAAAGTGCGAAATGCGCAAGCAACTCTTAAAGCACTCAGACGATATATAGATTCTGCCGTTCTCCGCGTACTGTGTGTGTGTAGGCATGTATGGATACAATTTTTCGTCCACGTTTTCGGGAGCACGGATCAACCAATTAGAATGGTTCAAAATTCTTTTTCTCTCAAAATTCCACGATTCCTATTGATATGGAGATGTGCTAATTAGTTTTTGGCAAAAGTCGGTTCAACCGTTTTGGAGTTACGGAGCAAAGAGTGCAGAAAATATAGAAATCGAGTTTGTGAAAGAACGTGGCATACGATTCGAATGATTGAAAAAAAAAAATTCAATTCGTAATGATGGGGAGTGATTAGTTTTTGGCAAAGAAAAAGGCAGGTCCAACCGTTTCGAAGATACAGGGGTAAATGCACAAAAAATGGCAGTTTTTGGGAGAACTAAGCATCCGATTTGAATAATTCAAAAAGTTTTCTGCTTGTTTTAACAAAATAAATCTTTTGTTTCAATTTTTTTTCAAAAAAATGTCTTTTTGTATATCGAAAATAATTCAGATTTTAAGTTTAATTCTGGCTAGAGTTCTAAAGCTCACTTGTATACTTTAAATAAATAATTTTAACTTTGTAATTCAGTTTATATAAATCTTATAAATATTCAGTATTTATAAAAATCTATTCAAAAACATTTAATATTACTCGAACATTTCGTTACACTGCGGGAAGTTCCAGCAATTTGCCTTAAGGCACCATGCCATACACCACTAGTTTAATATATTGATTTATTATTGACTAAGTCGATTATTTACACATGTCTGGAAAGTCATAACTTGCCTTATGGCAAAATACTACTTACAATTAGTTCAAATTTGGTCTTAAACGATTTAGAATGACTTGAAACATTGAGAAAACAAAATTAAGAAATCGGATTTGAGGAAACAAAATTCTTCTGATAGTTAAAAATCAAAAAGTTGATTAGTTTTTCGTAAATATCGGCGGAGCCGTTTCTTCTTAATTAAATCTTGAATTTTTTTGACGAACCTGGTAATATATTATAGACATATGATTATCGATTCCCAACCAATATCAGTTTTTGAATGTTTAAAATCGATTCAAGATTGTGGGTTAAAACGTGGACGAAAATTTTCTACTTTTCTGCTTATTATAGAGCGACTAGACTACTTGACCGATTATCGCGCAAATGCTCGTCCGTACCGAGTTACATCGAATGGCTTTTAACTTTCTCAAATCGGTCCAGCCGTTTTTGAAAAAACGTCGACGAAAGATCAAAAATCAGCTTTCTCCCAACAATATGCTTTATCCAGATTTGGTCTCAAACGATTCAGAATGACTTGAAACGATGAGAAAACATAAAATTAGCAAATTAAATGTTTTTGCAAAAACAAAATTCTTCTCATTAATTATTTGTAATATACTTCCATTTTCATATTGTAGTCCAAATGCACTAATTTTTTAATAACAGAAAAAGGTTATGGCATTATGTTACGCTCCAACTTCCATACATTATGGTACTGAATCATACTGAATACTGTCAAAATGTCATGTATTTGCTGTGCATTCAGGCGTTTTACACATAAACTGCAACGACACTCGTATGTTATGAAGCTTGGTCAGAAAGACCCTGTTATCTAATATTGTTTTTTGACATTTGTGCGGTTTCTAGGTTAGGTTTTGTATCTGACAACCTGTGAAATACGCCTGACTGCACACAAACCACATGGCTTTGTCAATATTTAGTGTGAAAAGTTCTTCATAAGATAGCCTTGCCATAACATTGGTCTGTTATGTGGCAGAATCCGTCCATATAACTCCACTATTATAATGAAGTCAGTCTTTCACTTTCACTTACCTAAATAAGCAATCCAAATATAATTATAAAATATCATAAAAATTATATTTCATATTAATCACTTTAAATATAATATAAGACAAATATATTAACAAAAAAAAATTACATCTTACGATGTACGTAGTATGTTTTCAACGATACATAATTCTACTAGAACTATATAACATTTCGGGCTCTACACTTGAAAGTTCATGCCTGTGGCAAATAAAATCTGTTTCTTCTTTTTCTTGCTCTTCTTGGAAGCATTCTCTTTTGTAGCACCTGCTGAATAGAAAAAGAATCACAATAATAATTGATTGACTTTAAATATTATCAAAACTGATTACTCCTGGTTAACAGATTTGTAAAGTTTTACCATTCGATTGGCAGCTCTTCTCCATAGCCTGGCTGATGGCATCCCTGAAACTCTGAGTGTAGCTTGGAGCTGGTACATAGTTAGGATCATAATCAGGATCCTGTTCCACGTTTATTGAATCAGTTTGTTGCTGAGATGGTAAAGCTGCCCATTTATTTTGTCGAATAAAATCAGTACCCTGACTTGGGGATCGTGCCATTGTTAACATCTGATAAAAAAGGAAGGAAATAGAATATCTCCAACTTTAATGGAAAATAAAGTCTTCAAAAATAGTTTCTTAAATGAATTAAATTCATTTTGAGAATAGTTTTCTCAAAAATAAAAATTATAAGTATTTAATAAGTATATTGAGTTGATGTATCTTCATCTCTTATCTTCACCAAAAAACTAACCAGCGAAAACAAACTGATATATTTCGAACGGTTTTGAATTTAAAAACCCATCAGGATTTTTGGTAAAAATGTAAATAAAACTAGTGGTGTATGAATCGTGCCTTAAAGCAAAATGCTAGAACTTCCCATACTGTAATAAAATATTCGAGGAATATTAAATGTTTTCAGATAGATTATTATAAATACTGTAACTTTCATTATTCTTATTTTATAGACCAAATATAAGAGCTGTAATGTATTGGATGATGACGTTTATATGAAAAGTAAAGAATAAACAAAACTTAATCAAGTGAAGTTAGAATGAAGGACCTTATGTATAAAAATTATATAAACTAAATTGCAAAGTTAAAATTATTTATTTGAAGTATATAAGTGAATTTATTAATTTATAATTTTATTTAGAACTTTAGTTTCAATTAAAATTAAAATCCTAATTCTTTTCGACAATAAAAAAATTTTTTTTGGGAAATAAAAAAAATTAAAAAAAAAATTCTTTTCCCCAAAAGCAATCGTTTCGTCAGCACAAACAGGAAGTTTTTTGAATCATTCAAATCTAAATGCTTAGTTCTCTCAAAAACTGCCATTTGTTGCACATTTAGCTCCGTATCTCCGAAACGGCTGTACCTGTCTTTGCCAAAAACTAATCACCACTTCTCCCAATCAGGACGAATTGAATGTTTTTTGAATCATTCCAATCGGATGCCCGGTTTCCCAAAAACTAATCAGCATTAATCCCCATTAATAGAAATCGATTGCTTTTTCAATCATACAAATCGGTTGAGCGGTATTCCCGAAAACGTCGAGAAATATGAGATAAGATCCTTTAATTCTAACTCCACATAATTAAGTTTTGTTTATTTACTTTAGAAACGTCGTCGTCCAATTTATAAACTTTTATATTTTGTTTATAAAATACAAAAAAGCAAAGTATTTATAATAATTTATTTGAAAACATTTAAAATTTCTTGAATATTTCTCATTATGGTCTGAGAAGTTCTAGCAATTTGCTTCAGTGCACAATGCCTTGCACCATTAATTTATTTTTTATAATTAAACTACTTGTTGTAAGCCTTTAATATTTCAGTATGTTCAATAGGGTCACGAACTCTTTCGCCTCTAAAGTTTCATTGAAATCGCCAAAAAATTTGCAAAAAAATTATGAAGTACGTCCCAACAACCGACTTTTGCCAAGCACGATTTTTTGTCATAAACTATTCAGCAAGATTGTCAAACCAAATCTTTCAAAAAGTTTTCAAATTTCCAAAATTCAAAAACACACACATACTTTTTTCAAATTTGATCTCATTCGATTGAGAATGACTTCAAACGTCAAGAAAATATAAAATTAGCAAGTCAGATTTTTTCAGAAGTTAATAAAATTTCGATTACACAACTAATCTGTTATCTAAATCATTTATCTATTACTACCGTGGCAAACGATGGTCCAGGCGACGTCCCCAAATTATCCACTCCAGATGCCTGATGGTCCAATGAATCAGATTCATTTCCAACAGACTGAGGGCTTCCATAAGTTGGAAAATCGCTTTCCCAATTTATTTCTCGGTTTGTTTGAGAAGAACCAGCAATGGGCAAACCTCTCTGCTTCCGTTCCTGCTCTATGGTTATCTGCATGTCCCTTCTGTTCTCTTCACGACATTTGCGGAGTCTTAGCCTGCGCCTGGTTTCTAACTGATCTGGATAAATAAATCATGGTGATAAATAATTTAGTGGTGATATTAAATAATTTGGTGGTGATACTAAATGATTGCAAGTACTTACTGTGGAAGTATTCAAGCGATTCAGGACTGACAATAGGTGGTCGTAGTTTGAGCTCGACCAATTCTATCTGGCAAGTTATTGGAAGGTGCTCCAAATATCTAAAAGAAAGTACGTCTCCTTAACTGTGATAAAATTATAAAGCAACTAGCTGTAAGTGGAATTCTGTCTTAAGGCAATTAAGGCATTGTGCCTTAAGGCAAATTGCTGGAACTTTCCGTACAAAATATTATTATTTTTTGAAAAACGATTAACATTCTTGAAAAATTTTTACTTCGTATAAATAAGATTTTTGAGAAACTATAAATTGGACAAAAAATTACTTTTTTTTGAAAAAAAAAAATTAAAAAAAAAAATTTTTTTTTTAATTTTTTTTTTTTTGAAAAAAAATTTTTTCTTTATTTTGACATATTTTGAAAGATCTGAACTTTTTTTCAAAGCAATCGTACGGCTTTAACTGCATATGGAAACAAAATATAAAGCGCGTAAGCGCCGCGTCGCCGTCTAACGGATAAACATTGGTACGGAACCCATAGGAATGTAAACAAAACTTATACTTATTGTTAAAATCTCTATAAAATATCTGATAATTTGATGTGCATATGTCTAATGTTTATTTTTGACCGCCAAATGGCTCATTTTTTTACTTTTTCCCCCATATCTCCAAAGTCGTTGGACCTGCCTTTCCAAAAATTTGAACTGTTTTTTATTTAGTCAATACAAATAAAATGTTTTTTGAATTATTCAAATCGGACGCTCCGTTCTCTTAAAAACTGAGTTACCGTTTTTGGCACTTTTTGTCCCGTATCTCCGGAACGGCTAGACCTGCCTTCTCCAAAAACTAATCAGCACGTCTCCTTATCAATACGGATCGAATGTTTTTTAAATTATTCAAATTGCTTCATCCGTGTTCCCGAAATCGTCGACGAAAATTTGTATCCGCACACACATACATACTACGCACACACACACACACATACATAAATTTTTTCTAAGGTATGCCAAAATGTTCAGAAACCTCTAAAACGTAAAGATCTATAAAAATTTTCGTTTTCGATTTTTTTGCGATTACTATAACTTACCCTATGGGAAGTTAACAAGTAATCATCAATTCCCAATTACTATATAAGATTGAATTAAAGTAGGTGCAAGTGGCATATTGCCTAAAAGTTAGTTGGATGAACTTCTCAAAACATGTAAATCAGTGATTCCCAAAGTCGTCTAGACTAGTCTCCCCCCCCCCTCAGGAGATCTCGTAAGCAAAAAAAAATTCGATGTCTAGGAAATGAAAGTGAGGTGCCACGATAATTAGCACCACGTTAATATACATTTACTAAATCTATAATAAAAAGACATACAAGATCAATGATTATAACTAAAAATATAACTTTTTATAAAAATTTGTAAGTACTATCATAAGTAGGCATTTGATTTGTGGCTGCAATATGGTTGAGCTTGTAAATACCCTACTATTTGAAGGCTATTGAAAAGCTTGACAATTTTCTTTGGGTTTTTTGAGACTTAGTATTTCTGAATACTAAAAATAAATAAACAGTAGAAAGAAGGTTAAGCTTTGTTACTGATATTCTATCATAAAAAGATATAGCCTGGAGATGTAAGATTCAGCCTTACAAATTTGTTGTACTAGTGGTGTACGGCACCGCGTCTCAAAGCAAAATACCGGAACTTCCCGTACTAAAATTTAGGAATTTTAAAAAAGATTCAATTTTCTTCTAGAACTCGAATTTTGAGATTTTAGAAATCTTTGAAAAAAATTGACTATTTGCAAAATTTAATTTTTTTCATACTTTGATATATTTTTGAAATTTTGAACTATTTAACTTCCTGTAGGGTAAGTTATAGTAATCGTCCAAAAATCAAAAATAAAATTTCGCATATCTTCACGTTTCAGAGGTTTCTGAGCATTTTGGCATACCTCAGAAAAAATGGACGTGTGTGTGTGTGTGTGTGTTGTGTATGTGTGTGTGTGCGTACGTATGTGTGGAAACATTCAATTCCTATTGATGGGGAGATGTGCTGATTAGTTTTTGGCAAAGGCAGGTCCAGCCGTTTTGGAGATATGAAGCAAAGAATGCAGATAATAGAAATCAAGTTTTTCAAATCAAGGATCAACTGATTTGAATCGTTCAAAAAACATTTAATTCATATTGACTGGAAGATGTGCTGGTAAGTTTAAGCAAAGACAGGTCCAGCCGTTTCGGATTTACGGAGCAAAAAGTGCAACATTCGATTCGAATGATACAAAAAACATGTAATTATATAAAAAACTTGTATTGTGAGTATTTTTTTTTTTTTAATTTCAATAATTATTACAACTGTATTGTATTGTGAGTATGAAGAAACTATTCGTTTTTTGTAAAAGCAATAAAAATAATTTCTCAATTTCAAAAAAAAATAATTAAATATCGGATTTTAATTATAATTCTAGCTAAAATTCTAAATCATATTTATATATTCAAAATAAACAAATTTAAATTTGCAATTCAGTATATATAATTCTTAAAAGAAATGGAATTAGGTGCTTTAATTCTAACTCCGCTTGTTCTATTTTTTTACTTTTCATGTAAACATATATAAACATTGTCGTACATGTAAAAGCTCTTATATTTTGTCTATATAATACAAACTATAAAGTTATAGTATTTATAAAGACCTATTTGAAAACATTTAAAAATTTTTGACTATATCATTACTGTACGGAAGTACAAGCGATTTGCCTTAAGGCACAATGCCATGCACCACTAGTTCTTATATAATTTGTCTATAACTAGGTGACAAGTTCGAAATATTTGTACAAAATTGAATAAATTGCAATAATCGCAATTAATAAATCACTTATAAATTAATATATTGATTTCTAATTGATCAAGCCTGTTATTTACAGATATCACGAAAACTAATGCAAGTCATTTTGAGTCATACTTACACATAGTAGTTTGACCTTTTTCATCATTTATCTTTAAACTAATTTAAATAGTAGAATTAGTTTGGATTATGTCATTAGTTTTAATCTAAAACTATTTAAACTTCAAAGAATTTGCAATTTAAATTATACCTGTTAAAATTTCCTACTTGTACCTTAATCATGTTATAAAGATTTTTGGATAAACTTAAAGAAATAATGAATAGAAACAATATTGCAAAGTTTTTGTTCAAATTGGAAAACACCAAGTGAGGTGAGTGTAACAATTTCGAATGACTTGAAACATTGAGAAAACAAATTTAGCAAGAATTTTTTGGGAATACATATTATTATTTGAATATTAATATGCTAACTTTTCTGATTATTTCAGGTTCATAAAGTCAGCCAGCCTTCCAATTTTAAATATTTGCTTAATCAACTAAATAGGTCTATTAAACAATGCTTGTTCATTTAAATTATAATAATCAGACAAAATATCGCCGGAGTTTGACTTGAGCACCCTTATCCTAACAAAAATATCAATTCTTACCTCAATCTTTTACGTAACTCTTCAGTAACAGTTAAAACTTCACGTGCCTCCACAGATGTAGTTATAGTTTTTGGACAATTTGCCAATGAGCCATAGGAATATTCCAAAATTCTGGCACACAGACCGGCTAAATAAATATGCTGCCCATCCAGAGCTGTTAAAGATAAATAAAAACGATTTATATAATAATTAAATAATAATAATAAAAAATGCTGGTCTGTATGAGTAAAATACAATTTTAATTTAATGTGGACAATTTTTACAATTTTAATCTAATATATTATGAAAATATAATTATAACTTAATATAAATAATTATATAACAAAAAAAAAACTGAAAGTGCAATTATCATTATGCACAAAACTAATTATTAACTTGCAAACAATTTATAATATTCAAGATCCATTATCATTTTTATCCCCTTACCTTGATAAAAATAGAAATCTTTATCTCCAGATCCACTTTCTCCAATCCTGGTCCCATCCAAAACTTCAATTCCACTCGCCACATCCTCTCCCACACAATCAACACCTTGCTCGATTTGATCGAGTATAGAATTTTGAATTTCATCCAAATTATCAGCACCAAAAACATTTTCCAAATGTTTTACTTCTCCAGCCTCATTCCCAGTTACATTTTCATTTAATGAAAGCTCTTCAGGAGCACATTTTGTCAATTTTTGATCATCTAATGAGAGTTGTTTGAAACTATCGGCTGTCAAATTTTGTTCATCAGCAGTTTGAGTTTTAGAATCGTCCAAGGATTGTTGTTTGAAGTCATTGGATTTAGTTTTGATTTTTGTAGCGCTGTTTAACTTATCAGCCTGGTATTGGTTAAGGAGATCGATTGCTTGCTGGATGAAACATGCTTCAGGAGTGAATTCCTCTATCTTGTAGACTCGATTTAGATCTGCCAGATTGACATTGATCATATCCAAAATCTAAAAAAGTGATAACTGAAGTTAATTATAATGGAAAATTATTTAAAGAAGTAATAAAATATGTAATATTTTTACATTTTGTAAGTAAATGCTGCAACATTCATTTTGTTCATTAGGAGCCGCTCAAGTAATACTATAGGGGGGCGGGGGGGTTATTGATTTGCTTATTTTTGTGACATGGGAGGCAGGGGAGTCTAGATGATGATTAGGTCATAGGTAGTATTTTTATTTATTTATTATTAGAGCACCATGATGTTGAATGGCTCGATGAGAACGATGTAGACATTCTAAAATCAACTTACAACACTGAGCAGCAATCCAAGCAATCCAATGTCATCGAAAACTTAGAATCATTATGGAAGACTGTTAATTTGAATTTAATATGTGTACCAAAAATTTAAAATAAGTTCATTATGCTCGTAAGATTATAATAATTTTGTTACTCTATGTTGAATACCATATCAGTAAAATCTCTACATCCTAAATCTATTTTCTTATTTTTAAAATTATAATTATAACCTAATAATTACAATATTTAAAAAAACAATACATTAATTGCAAAGTGTTCACGTAAGCATGGGGGTAGGGGGTAAGAGCTTTGCTTACTTTTGCTGACAAGGGGGATGGGGGGGGGGTAAATAAATGTAATAAATCTGCTTACATAATACTTGAACGATCCCTTACATAATTTTCATTAAAATATTTTTGAAAATATTGGCAAAAAACGATGAAAAATACCAAAAATAAACCAATTTTTAGTAGCCAATAACTTGAAAAATATTTGCTTTTTTGAAAAACGTTATAAAACATATTTTTCTTATAATTAGATCTATTGACATTCGACGTTATTTTGTAGAAATATAATTACATCACTGAGAAGGAGTGTAATTTCCTCAGGGGATGGCGCTGAAACACAAATTGCTTTCAGGGTAATATGAACCTAATTCCAAAATTTCATGCAAATCGGAGCACAGTAAAAAAATTCAAACCCCAAAACGCTTCATTGAGAAGAGTATAGGAAAATTTACCTGTTGCAAGTTAGCTTGTAACAACTTGCAATATTTAGAAGCAATCGGTCCATCACTGATGTTGGGCAGAACCAAATTATTTTGCATAGTGGAATCAACAGGCCAAGCTTGGTTACAATTTCTCGGTCTCCTCATCAGTTGCAATGTTATAGTGCTGTTTAAACCAAATGTTGCAATCGGGGCCCAGCACACACTAAAAGAATAATAAATATTATTTCATGATCTACAATTTTTATTTATATTATTATTTTTGTATTATTGTCATTATTTTATTTTATTTTAACTTTGTTTCGTTTTATATTCAATTCATTGTATTTTTAAAGTAAAACTTTTTTAAGCGCGACTAGGGTGTAAATCCGTACAAATGCAACGGAAGTCCGTTACGCCCGAACTGTTCGTCATTCGCTCTTGATGAGATCATTGCTATAAGGGTCAATTGTGATTAGCCGTCGTGTATGTGAATAGAGATCTGTCGTTGTATGCGTCATTTTATGCTTATTTATCTATGGTATGCGTACCGGCATCAACGTTGTATGCGTACGGATATCAACAAGGAAACCTGCATAGCTAAATAAACATTTCAAAGTTACATTCTAGTACAAATCTTAATTTAATGAAAAATGCCTGAATAAGAAGAATATTTTACCCTGTGTTCCTTGAATATTTTACCCTCTGTTCCTTGAAAATAATAAAAAAAATGAAACATTTGGGCCGTGTACTAAACGTAAGTTTATTGATTAGAAATTATTTCTATATTATTCGTAGTTTCCATAAATCTTTTAAGTTATTAAAATGGAAAATATTTTCTAGGCAAGACAGATATTACAGCTGTTCAAAGAATGAGACTATGTCGCCAGCAAAAAAGTAAAAAAAATACAAGCAGTCGATGAATGTATGTTAATTTTAATTACATGAAGTTCTTCAAACACAATTATATGATGAGTGAAGTTGCGAAAACAATATTTGTTTAGACGTTGTTTAACATAATCCATTATGTGACATTAATCAGCAATTACTTTATTTCTCTAATGAAGGTTCATGTCATGTTTAAAGTATGACTTTAATTACATTATTGTTTTTAAGTATTATATTTTTAATGCTGTTATAAATATATAATTTATAATTTATCATTATATAAATGTGTATAATGGTTGACACTAATAAATGTGTACGAATGTTACCATATTACTAATAAACAATTTGTTCAAATTTGTTTGTTCAAATATATTATATGACGTATTTATTTTTACTTAAATGCCATCTTGTACAGTAGCAAATAAGTTTTACTTCAATCGTGTGTGAACCTTACGCGCACTCTTTTTTTATGTCTTTTCTTTTTGGTATCTATAAATTTTGTAAATAGGACAGGTTAAATTGAATTGGTTGAACAGTTTAATTGGTAAACATATAGAACATCTGGTAAATTGGTTGACAGGTAAAATAATGTATTGATAAACAGGTTGACAGTTAAATTGGTAGACAAGTAAATTGATGTACAGGTAAATTGGTGAACGCATTGTTGGACAGCTGGTAGTCAGGTAAATTAAAGTCTTGATTAACAAAAATAAATTATAACAAGAAAAAAAACAGATCTACAGTTTCATTGTTGATTTTCATTTTCATTTCATTCAATTATCTTACCTTTTCAAATCTTTAAGATGAATGGCTTCGTAACAAATGGGACACTTTCTCCATGGCTTATCAGACAAAGCCAAATAATGAAGTATGCAAGGGTAGCAATAAATATGACCGCAGCGGGTAATCCTTCCTGCCAATGGCTCTTCCAAACAAATGGGACAGTGCGGTGGATCTTCAGATTTAGTTATCTGTAAAAGATAAGTGTATAATCATGAAACTGGTGAAAACGTAAACTAGCCCTTCAGATAGGTAATAAACTTCCTTATCTATCTATATACATATATAAATGGAAGTATGTCTGTGTAATTGTTATGCAATCATAAACCATAAGTTCGATCGCCGTGAAAAACTGGAAAATTGTTAGGTAAATCCCCAGACAGGTTTTCGGATATTTTGATTGAAGCAAATTGGTGATTGATGTTTTTTTTTATTGTATTGGTAAATATTTATTTTTTATTTTTTTATAATAAATTTTAACCTCCTACTGCAAACCCCTATCTTGTAAAAAGTATTACAGTAATTATGTTTTTTATTTATTTGTAGACTAGCAGACTGGTAGACGGGCAAACTGGCTGACAGGTAAACAGATAAATAGTTAAACAGGCAAATAGGTAGGATATAGGGAGGATATGCAAAATGGTAGACAGGACAACTGGTAGATAGACAAATATGTAGACAGATGAACAGGTTGACAAGTTAATTGCAAAACACATAGAACGAGATGAATAGGTGAACAGTTGGACAGCTAAACTGATAGGCTGATAAACAGGTTGAAAGGTATATTGGTGGTAAATGGACAGGCATATAAACAGATAGATAGATACGTCGACAGATGAACAGGTAGACAGGTATATTGGTAGATAGGTAAACAGGTTGACAGGTTAATTGGTTATATACATAATATAACCAATTACACAATACATAATATACACAATACATAATATAACCAATTACATAATACACAATACATGTAGAACGAGATGACAGCTAAACTGGTAAACAGGTTAATTGGTAAACATATAGAACGAGATGAACAGCTAAATTGGTAGGCTTATGAACAGGTATATTGGGGAACAGTTAAACTGGTGGACAGTTAAACTGACAGGCTGGTAAACTGATAAACAGATACGTTGACAGATGATCAGGTAGACAGGTAAATTGGAAGAAAAATAAACCGGTGGTCAAGTAAATTTGAGAATAACGAGACAGAAAAACAGGTTGACGGGCAAATTGGCAGACATATGAAACGGGTTAACAGGTAAATTGGTAGGCCGAAGAAATGGTAAATTGATAAACTGGTTAATAGGTAAATTGATAGCCAAATTGTTGAACAGGTTAATTAGTAAACATATAGAATGGGATGACAGGTAAATTGGTTCATTGATGAACAGGTTGATAGTTAAATAGATAGACAGGTAAATTGGTGAACGGGTAAATTTTTAGACAGCTGGTAAATTGGAAGATATGTAGTAAAATAGTAGACAAGACAACTTTTAGATAGACGAATAACAATACAGATAAACAGGTTGACAGGTGAATTGGTAAACATATGAAAGAGATTGGCATGTAAATGGGTAGGCTGGTAAACTGATAGATTGAAAAACAAGTTGGCACGTAAATTGGTATAAAAATTGTTGAACAGGTAAATTGATGGTTAGCTAAATTGATAGACTGATAAACAGATTGACAAGTGAATTGGTAAATTGATGGACAGGTAAATTGGCTAGTAGTTAAATTGGTAGACAGGTAAATTGGCAAACAGGGAAATTGTTGGACAGCTGGTAATCAGGTAAATTGAAAGTTATGTAAAATGGTAAAAAGGACAATAAACACAAATAACAAGACAGATAAACAGGTTGACAGACAGGATAAATTGGTAGACATGTGAAACGGATTGACATGTAAATTGGGTGACAAATAAATTGGTAGGCCGGTGAAATGGTAGATTGAAAAACAAATTGACAAGAAAATAGGTAGACAAATTGTTGAACAGGTAAATTGGTTGTTAGCTAGATTGGTAGATTGAAACAGTCTGACAGGTATACTGGTGAACAGATATACTGATGAACAGGTGAATTGATGGTCAGGTAAATTGGTAGACAGATAAACTGGTGAACAGGCAAATTGTTGGACAGCTGGTAGTCTGGTAAATTGTAATATATGTAAAATGGTGGACAGGACAAGTGGTAGATAGACAAATAACAAGACAGATAAACAGATAAACAATTGATATATAAATTGGGTAACAGGTAAATTGGCAGGCCGGTAAAATGGTAGCTTGAAAAACAAGTTGACAGGTAAATTTGTAAACAAATTGTTAAACAGGTAAATTGTTGAACAGACTAATCGGTAGACATATAGAATGAGATAACAGATAAATTGATTCACAGGTAAAATGGTGTATTGATAAACAGGTTGTTAGGTAAATTGGTAGAGAGGTAAATTAGTGAACGGGTAAATTGTTGGACAGCTGGTAGTCAGATAAATAGGAAGATATGTAAAATAGTAACAGGTAAGTTGATAGGCCGGCAAAATGATAGATTAAAAAACAAGTTGACACGTAAATTGGTAGACAAATTGTTGAATAGATGAATTGTTGAATGGGTAAATTGGTGTTCAGCTAAATTGGTAGACTGATAAACAGGTTGACAGGTACACTGGTGGACAGATAAAGGGATGGACTGGTAAATTGATGGACTGGTGGTAAATTGGTTGACTGACAAACAGGTTGACAGGTAAACTGGTAGACAGAGAGGAAAACAGATAGTAATCTAAACAAGAAGATTGGAATACAAAATAACTGGTAGGCTTAATGTAACAAATATACATTTTTGTTCAACTTTGTAATATAAACTAAAACACCGCGAAGCGTAAACGGGTACTTACTATTTGTTCAATATAATCCCATTCAACCAACGCATCAGGATTTTTTAAACAAATTGAATAATCTTCACCTTCTCGCACAATGAACTGGCAACTGAAAATAATAAAAACGATATTTAAAACTACACATTGATTTTTAAATATTATTATTATGAATAATATAATTGGGTTTCCATTACACTTACTTGGCTTGTAAATAATGCTCCTTATTATACTTAGGATAATTAATTTTTCCCTTTTTGTATTGCCGTCCATAATTCGTAGGACCTCCAACAGATCGGGGAGTATAGTGAAAGTTTAAAAGATGATTCAAACTTTGCTTTTTGTTGCCAAATTTCATTACCGAACCTGGTTCGAGTTGTTCAAACTCTAGCCTAAGAAACAAGAACAAATGATTAATAAAATATAAATGATTATAATAGAAAATGGATGTAAAAAGAGTGTTTTTTACCTGGTTTCCGCCTTTCCACCCATCTGACTACCACCGCGGGGCCTTGGACGTTTGTCAAATCCAACATACTTATTTCTTTGAGGAGGGGGCTTAGGGTTATTTGGGATATTGTTGTTTCGTAAACCTTTTGTCCAAGGTTTACTGTTGGGAACATCTGGAAAATAAATACTGAACTTTATTCACATATATCAAAAAGGGTTTTAAAAACAGTTAACGATTATTTTTATGAGAAAATGCAATTTTATGGTCCTTCCCTCCTTAAATATTTTCCTTCGAAAAAATTATTAACCATTATTGATTGCCATCTATACTAAATTCTTTAAATGGGGTACAAATATGCCTTTTGAAGATGGGGTTTAATATTATTAATCTGGACTTTTAACATCCCTTGGGTAGGTGTTAGAGATCGCAAATATATTTAAAATAATGTTTTTTTATATATTTTTACGTTTCAACCCCTTCTGAACATGCCTCATAAAAAATGGATCTCAGTAAACACCGAGCGGCGGTAGCAATCTGAAATCCACATAAATTCCACATGCATGTCACATCGCTGAAGGCAAGCTTGTGGATTTCAGGTTGCTACCGCCGCTCAAATCACAAGGTGTTTACTGGTACGTTGTATGTGTGTATTACGTGTTTTGTATAGATACAATTTTTCGTCTACGATTTTGAAAGCAGGGATCAACCAATTTGAATGATTCGATTTGACAAAAACCATTCAATTCCTGTTGATGGAAATACATGCTGAGTTTTTACTGACGTGTTAGTTTTCGGACAAGGCAAGTCCAACCGTTTGACAAAAAAAGCAAATAATGATAATTTAGTTTTTGTGATATCAGAGGTAATTTTGTTTACATTTCTTTGAGTTTTGTGCCAAAATTTATATTGTCCACCAATACCATTCACCACTAGTTACATTTTATTTTTACCACTAGGTAAAACCACGAGATAACATCCTAAAATAAAAGTCCTACCTGGAAGGCAGAACATTCTTCGTTAGTGTAAGGGGTGAAAAATTAACATCACATCCAGTCAGATCAGGAGTGCCTCAAAGTAGTGTCATTGGGCCACTATTATACCTCATATACACTGCAGACCTACCACAGAATAATGACATTTTGACAGCAACATATGCAGCCGACACAGGCATTCTGTGTAATTACATAAAAAATGCTGCAGGATCATCTTGACGTTATACAAAAATGGTTAAACTTGTGTAGAATAGAAGTCAGCAAGTCAAAACATATCAATTGCACCTCTTTGCAAAGGGACTTTTCATGCAGTAAGACTTAATGACAAAATTATAGATCAAACAGATACAGTCAAATATCTAGATTTATACTTCGATAAAAGACTAACCTAGAAAGAACACATTAAAGATATCAGAAAAAGGGAAAGCAGCTTAAAGCCAGAAAAAAGCTCAGAATCTCCTCTGACAAAATCAAAACTTGACACGCATAATAAAATTTACTTCTATAAAGCCATCATTAAACCAATTTGGATATAAGGCATACAGCTATGGGGATCAATTTCCAACTCAAACACTTTAATAATTCTAAGATTTCAAAACAAGTTAACAAGAAAATTTTTGAAAGCACCAAAGTATGTTCCAAATTGGTTAATACATGAAGACACAGGCACTAGCACAGTTAAGGATGAAACGCTTTCTCACAAAAATATAGAAATCGTGTAGCTGATCACCCAAACTTGCTCACCAGAAAACTTCAAAACAATTCTACCAGGGCCAGGTTAAAAAGAAAATTTCTTCTGCATTAATCAACAATAGATAAGACCTTTGACAAATCACTGGCAATGGTCAGATGATTTGTATTTTGCCAACAATGTCAGTTTTATGTCAAATATTCTAATTCTATCTGTTTCAGGGCAGTTGTAAGAATTATTATAATAATAAAAAAAAATGTGTATGATTATAAATATAACCTAGTAAATTACAAAATCACCTGTTCTCTTATCAGATTCCTACAACAGATAACATCAAAATGATACGCAATTGCAATCTCCCTCCACAATTTTTAATCTAAACAATTCCCTCGACCTTGAACCTTCTTTTGACAATTGCATTTACCTTGATTCTTCTTACTTTCAGCACCCTGTCCCTTCCCAGGGGGCTGATTGGGTCTCAAAAGCGTCTTTTTTTCCATCTCTTGTTGCATCAACAACCGAATTCTTGGAGTGATCTCCACACGGAGAAATCTTGAGCACTTTCAAAGGAGACATTTTAGTATGCCATGTTTACAACTTCGGAAATAAATAATTAGAACAATGACTGTTGTAATTATTAGCAATTCGCGATTAAAGATGTCGAAATAAAGGATTTAATTATTAAGGGAGAGCCTCCCTATCTCCGCGGAGACGATGTTAGAATTTTTTTGAAACAAATGAGCCCGTCGGTGAAATGGCGACGAGTAAAATAAAAGTGTTGCCAGGGAGGATGAAGTTAGATGCGAACGAACGAGGGCACAAAAGGGATATTTGGGATCGGGTAATACCAATGGCGGCGCAATTTTTGAATAGAGCAAATTCAAAAACGATGTATTTACTTTTAATAGTTCAATGCTTAATTTAATTTGTCACTCCATTGTTTTTATATATTTGACAAATCAACTAATTTTATTATACATATACGTATTCACTTCCAGAGGAAAAGTTTATGTTTTCGATAGAAATTCTGACTAGTTAAATTTGTTTTCTCGACGTTCTAAGCCATTCTGAATCCAAAACAAAATTGTATGGCGTCGTGCCTTAAGGTAAATTCCTGGAGTTTCCCGTACCGTAACGAAATGTTCGAGAAATATTAAATACTTTCAAATAGATGATTATAAATACTGTAAGAATTATATAAACTGAATTACAAAGTTAAACTTATTTATTTAAAGTATATAAGTAAGCTTTAGAACTTTAGCCATAATTAAAATTAAAATCTGATCTATTTTTGATATACAAAAAAAATATATATACATTTTTTTCCAAAAGCAATATTTTATTAAAACAAGCAGAAAGTTCTTTGAATCATTCAAATCGGACGCTTAGTTCTCTCAAAAACTGCCATTTTTTGTATATTCAGCCTTGTATCTTCAAAATGGTCATTCAAATCTGATACTCCGTTCTCCCAAAAGCTCGATTTGTATTTTCTGCACTCTTTGCTCCGTGTTTTCGCAACGGCTGGACCTGCCTTTGCCAAAAACTAATCAGCACATCTCTCCCTATCAATAGGAATTGAATGTTTTTTGAACTGGACAAAAAATTGTATCAATACAAACATACGTACACACACATTCATTTTTTTTTCAAAACTTTGAAAAAAATTGATTTTTACGAAAAAAATGACTTGAAAAATTTGGATTTTTTTTTATATCTGAATTTTTTTTTTTAACTGAAAGAAATGTCAAAGCGCGAAGGCGCCGCGTCGCTGTCTACCGGATAGATATTGATACGAAACTCATAGAAATATATACTCATTATTAAAACTTCTCTAAAATATCTGATAATTTGATGTACATATGTCTAATAATCATTTTTGACCGCCAAATGGAATTTATTTTTAGTTTTTTAATTGGATCTTCAAAACTGCTAGACCTGTCTTTCCAAAAATTCAATCAGTTCTTCATTTAGTCAAATGTTTTATGAATTAATCAAATCAGACGCTCCGCTCTCTCAAAAACTGATTTACCATTTTTGGCTCTTTATGCACCGTTCCTTCGAAACTGCTGGAACTGTCTTGTCCAAAACCTAATCAGCAAATGGAATGTTTTTTAAATTATTCAAATTGATTGAACCGTGTTCCCAAAATCGTCGACAAAGATTTGTATCCGCACACATACACACATACATACATCCATGTTTTCTAAGGTATGCCAAAATGTTCAAAAACCTTTGAAACGTAAAAGAGATAAAAGATAAATTTTTTATTTGCGATTGCTATATAACATACCCTACTGGATGTTAATAAAGTATGTTAGTGTGCGATGTGATTCCAAATTTGATCTTCTGTCTACATTTTTACAAAATATTATGGTCTAACAAAAAATAGTTTTATCATAAAAATACATTACAGCAAGTGTCTATGCACTTCACAAAGTTATAATTAATTAATTCAATTATAAATATCAGTTTGTTTAAAAGCATCATTTGGAAATCATCTTGATTAGGTTTTAATAAAATCGAAAACCCTGTTTTCGAAATAAACAGTTGAAAATTATATCTAAAGGGCTAAATCTCATTTTTTTTAACTATTAAGGCAATTATTCACACATTCATGCCAAGAGCAAAATGCCATTTGCACCTAGTAATTTGATTTTAATTTTCTTAGCTAAAAAGCCTCATTCAAAAAATATTTATTTTTTTATAAATATCATTCAAAATTTCAAGGATATGGAATATACCTTTGCTGCTTTTTTGTCTAAATTAAACACTTAAAAATAAATATTTAAAAAATAATTAAAAAAGTGTATAGATATATGTCAGAAAATGGAATCGAGAATGAAATAAGTAACAAATAAAAAATTTCCTTTTTTAAGGCTTTTGGTTTCAAAACTCAAAATCATAAATTAAATAATATATTAATGGTTATTTCTTACCGACTTTTCAAAAAACAAGTATGACCTATCAATTTATTTTGCACGTTTAACTCATACATATTTGTTAAGTATTTAAAAATCAGGATCTGCACCATTGCAGTGAATGTTTAAAAAAGTGAATACCAATCATTAACATACAAAAATGATTGAAATAGAAAAATTAAATCAACTTGACTTATTTATAAAATAAACTAATATAAATTTATAACATATAATCTAATTCATATCTTGCATATTGATTTTTGGGATCGTTTTGTATCCGAGGATAACCTGCCACGAGTGCATCTTGACCTCCTATGTATAAAGAATTATATATTTTCCAGTAGACGTCTCGTACTTTCCTTGCTGGATGGAAAAGACCCTGAAAATGGTAATAGATTGATATTAGTAATACAACACAAATTTTTAGCTAAAAAACTTAGATTAATTTATCTTTTCCATACCTGTAAAGTGTACTGTAATATTTTAATTGGTCCTAAAGCTACTCGTAATCCTTCAATGGCGTCCATAAATGCCTGCACTAAATGAGGTGATGATTCAAAGATATTAGGCCAGACGTGATTTAATAAGTGAATTAAAGCGTCTTCACATCCAAAACCAAAGACTCCCAAAGCCATATGCTTGATTGCTGCACATGCCGTCTGTCTGTGCACCAAATCCCTAAATAAAAAATATAATTAGTACTAGAAATTTTATAAGAATATACAGGGTGTCCCTGAACTCAACATCAAGCCAAAACGAGATGACAGTATTAAGATTAAGATTCATTCATATTTAATAGTATATCTATACAATCAATAATTTATTAAAGTTTTAATTATTATTGCTATACTGCAATAATATTTTCATTTCAATAATTCATTGCTACTTTTTCATATATAACAAGTCCTCAGTGGTCATGGTCTTTGTGAAAACGTTTACCGCAGTAATTGACAAAAGACTTCGTGGGGAATTAAATGTTAACCACAATAACTGAAAAATGGTTACAGTTTTACCAGAAATCTTGGTTGTGCTTAAAATTTCTAAAATACTTTCTAATTTATTTCATGCTAGTTACTCCATTTAGGCTTGTTAAGTTTTGGGATACCGTGTATAACTAGTTGGTTTGGTATTTAGCCTTGAGGCAAGTTACATGAACTTCCCGATATGTGTAAATAATCGACTTAATCAATAAAAAATAAATTAATTTATGAGTGATTATAAGTATTCCGAGTGAATTTATTACACATCATTACAAACGAACGAACGAACACGTTAACTCGGAGTATTTTCTAAAAGCAAATTTTCAAAAATCAATAATTTTAATTAATCAATAATTATAATTGAACCAGTTTTCGTATGACTTTAATGGTTTACTATGTTCAACACTATCGTTATACCAACTAAATCATCTAATTTTATTTTTAACAAACGTCAAAAAAAACTACTCATTTTCTCAAACTTTGATGAATTTTTGAAATTAAACTACTTGTCGTAAGGCCGTAATAATTCAGTAAGTTCTATAAGATCATGATATATATCGCCAAAAATAGTTCCATAAAAATCGGTCTATATTTTTTTTTTCAACAGTTAATTACAAGAAAACGGCTCGGTAGATTTTCACCTAAAACTAATCAGTATCATTCCCAACTAATATCTTTTGAACAGTTTTTGATTTTTTAAAATCGGTTCGGTAGTATGAGCTTAAATGTGGACCAAAGGTTTAACACTTTCTCCCAAATTACAAAGAAACGGCTCGGCCGATCGTCGCACAAAACTGAGAAACGATAATCCTCATCAAGATACATCAAATGCTTTTTAAATACCTGAAATCGGTTCAGGCGTTTTTGAGCAAACGTCGATGAAAGTTCTAATTTTGACAAATGCCAAAAAGACCATACTAATTTTTGCAAACTTTGACGAATTTTTAAAGCTAAACCAGTTGTCGTAGGGCCGTAATATTTTAGTATGATCTAGAAGACTATGGTATCTACCGTCAAAAAAATAAACATAAAAATAGTCGAAATTTTTTGTTTAAAAACTTTATTACAAGAAAACGGCCCGGCCGATCTCTACCAAAAACTAATCAGCACGATTTCCAACCAATATCTATCGAACGGTTTTTGAATTTTCAAAATCGATTCAGAATTGCGGGCTAAAACGTAGACGAAAAATTTTTCACTTTTCTGCGATTTATAGAGAAACGGCTTGGCCGATCGTTGCACAAAATTGACAAACGATAATCCTCGTCGAGATACATCGAACGGCTTTTAAATTTTTGAAATCGGTCCAGCCGTTTTCGAGAAAACGTCGATTTACGGCAAAAAATCTGTTCACATACACGCACGCACGCACGCACGCACACACACACACACACACACACACACATACTTTTTCCAAATTTGGTCTCATTCGATTCAGAATGGCTTGAAACGTCGAGAAAACATAAAATTAGCAATTCGGATTTTTTTATGAAAACATAAACTTCTCCTTCGGGAAGTTAAAAATATGCTTACCTGTCCATAAGTGCGTCTTCCAACAACGGGCTGACTGCATAAATATAATCCTTCCCCATCTCACCAATATATTCAAAAAGAAAACTCAACGACTTCAACACACCGTTCTGCACATTCAATTCAGGAACCCTATATTCATTCATCAAAGCCGGCAAGACTGTAAACGGTGAACAAGTCTCAGCAACAATAGCAATTGCCACAGTGGTACAGACACGGTTCTGTCTCTCCTGCACTTTCAAATTATTCAACAAAGTAGCCAACACATCATGTGGACCGATAGCTTTGGCAATATAACCAAAAGTGTTCACCGTAGCTCTCCTGATAGCCTTTTTGTGGGCCTTTAACAATTCTAGTAATTCAAAACAAATTCTCATCCATTCTCTGGCGGAGACGTATTCTGGTCCTCTATCAGCAATTCGGCCGACAAGGTCGATGCAGTTTTCTTGTACTTTTTCGTGACGATTTTTCAGAATTGGTGTCAGTCTTGGGAGTAAATCTTTGATTGGAGGTGTCATTTTGGTCATACCAATTACATTGACAATAGCTTTTAGGGCTCCAAGGATGGAACCGAGTACTTCGGGGTATTCTTCTCCTAAGTATTCGTAAAGAACGACACCTAAATGGCTCATTAACTTTTCCTAGAAAAAAATTAAAACAGTAATTAAAAAATTAATATAATTTTAGTAAGATGATACCATAATGATTTGAATAATGACAGCATGCTGATTTTAAATATTTGAAATTAAAAACCACTCTAGTTTGAGTTTTTAAGACAAATTGCTGGAACTGCCCATACAATGCAATTGATAGTTTTTAATTTTTTTTTTGAAGATTTTTAGTTTTTAAAAGATTATTTAAATTTTTTAAAAAGAATTTGAAATTTTTTTTAAAAAAAAAAAGACTGAGAAATTTGAGATTATTGATAAGAATTTTTTGAAAATTTTGAAATTTTTTGAATATTTTGGAGAAATTCATATTTATTTAAAAAAAAGTCGAGGTTTTTTGGAATTAAAAAAGAATTTCCCTACGAGATGTTAATAATGAAACTAGGTACAAGTGGCATCTTGTTTTTTGGCAATTTAGATATTTAGATAAAATTTTCAAATTTTAATTATTCAATGAAACAAATATAATTTTGATAAGATACCAATAATGATTTGAATAATGACAACATGCTGTTTGTAAATATTTGAAATTAAAAACCACAAGTTTGAGCTTTAAGGCGAATTGCTGGAACTGCCCATACCTTATTTAAAGTTTTTCAACTTTTGAAAATACATTTGATAATTTTAATTTTTTTTTTAAAAGAGTTTTAATTAAAAAAAATATTTTAAAAAGAATTTGAAAATTGGACTACCGAATAATTTTGCATCCGAGTTGAATGAAAACAAAAAACTTTCTGCTTGTTTGTCGAACCGATTGCTTTTAGATTTTTTTTTTTTTAATTCTTTTCCAAAAAATATTCTTTTTTTTACTAAATTTTATTCTTCAAATATATCATTATGGTACGTGAAGTTCCAGCAGTTTGCCTTAAAGCACAAAGCCATACACTACTAGTCTAAGTTTTATTTTTGAATTTTTTGAAAATATTTTAAAAAGAATTTTCTTGAAAATTTATTTCGAAAAATTAGAATGTTTCATGATATTTTTGAATAAAATCGATCATTTCCAAATTTTTGAATAAAAAAGATTTTTTTATTAGAATTGCCCTAAAGGAAGTTTATAATGAACTAGGTGCAAGTGGCATCTTGTTTTTTTTGTAATTTAGATATTTTAGATAAAATTATCAATTGTTTATTTTGAAACTAAAGTTTTTGCTTTTACTAAACCGAATCAATGCAATTTGCTAATTTATATATCTTTCAAACAGACATTATAATAACTGTAATTGTTTTATTCATAATCAACAATCACAAGCAACTGACTGAAAAATGCTGATATTTCCTAAAAACGCAGCCCATTATTCATGACTTTAAACCATTTAAGCCCAAACATTATGCCAAACTTTAACGCATTTTTATAATTCAAGCAATTACGGTAGGTTCATTAAGACCAACAACTCTATTAATAAAAAAACTTTCATCAAAATTGTCAAAAAAAAAACAACAATTAATTACGAAGAAACAGCTTGGACGATTTTTACCAGAAACCAATAAGCTCGGTTTCCAAACATCTACAAAAAGTTAAAAATTGGCTCACATACAACCACACATACTTCAGGCAATTTAGAAAATTTAGAGATATCAAAACAAAATGAGCAAATATGATTTTCTAGCAAAAAAAAAACATTTCTTTTGTATAGTTAATACATAATTTTGATAAGAAGTATCAAATTTATCCATTCAAATATTCAAAATCAAAATATATATTTTGAGTAGAAGTAGTAACTAATGATGATTCAAACAATGTCAAACATGTAGATTTTAATCATTATAATCATCATGAATAAATATCTATTTTTTGTTTTATTATTATAATTCATTTCTCCACTTACCTCTTGACAAGTTTTCATGACAACAGCTATCCTGGAAATAAGATCAGCAGCTTGCTGTCGAACCTTTGCACTTTTATTATTCAATCTCCAGAGAATGGTACCACAAATTTGTGGTAAGTAAGGCCTCACACGTTTACCTAATTGATTGACTATCGTGCCAAAACCATTTAACATGACCACATCCTAAAAAGGAAAAAGATTCATTAATAAGAAAAACTAAGTTAAAAATAAATGATAAATATAGATTGAGGGGGCATGCAGATGCTTCCAAAATGCTATTTGACACAAAAACGATCATGTCATAATTGAAGTATGACTATAATTATATTATTGTTTTCAAATATTATAAATATTTTAATGCTATTATAAATATATAATTTATAATTTATTATTATATAAATATATAAAATGGTTGTCATTAATAAATGTGGTCATCACGAGTGTTACCATATTACTAATAAACATTATTCAAAATTGTTATATGATGTATTTATTTTTAACTAAAATGCCATCTCGTACAATAGCAAAAAAGTTTTACTTCAATCGCGTATGAACCTTACGCGCACTCTTTTTTTTCAAAAGGTGAGATGCAGGTAGAAAAAGTTTGGAAGCTACCGAGAATAGGTGTTTCATGTAACTCGAGCACTAATTAAGAATAATTATAGCTAACAACTCATTAGTTTTTGTATTTGGTGTTAAAAGTGTATGATTAAAAATCATACATTTTTTTGTTTCATTTTATGTGGCAAACTATACAATAAGCTGAATGTACTTATTGTAAAGTTCGCTACGTAAAACAATTTTTTTTCTTTTTAAATGTATGATTTTTAATAATTTTGCATAAAAATGTATGTATTATATTTACAAATATGTATATATTGCATGTTGAATTTAAAGAAAAAAGTAAGTCCATTATATGTCTACTACTAAAATTTTTTCTTTCACTTACTTCTGTGGTTTGTTCTTGGAAAGCATACAAGATACCATCAATAAGTTGTTCTTCCAGCCTCGAATCAACATCAGCAGCTCCCAAAGCACCCATTACTTTCTCAATAGTCTCCATAACCATTTTACGATACTGTTCATTTTCATCCTTCAAATCATCTACTACTCTGGTAATTATTTCTGAGGAACCAACCTATAATAGAAAAAAATTGAAAGTAAAGTAAAGGAAGTAAGAGCTAGAAAAATATTGAAAAGTGTTTCTCAATAAAACTATGATATTTTTAGAGACCGAAAAATGTTATGGCAAGGCCATGTTATGCTCCAACTTCCATACATTATGCTACTGAAACATACTGAATACTGCCAAAATGTTATGTATTTGCTGTGCATTCAGGCGTTTTACACATAAACTGCAACGTCACTCGTTTGTTATGAAGCTGGGTCAGAAAGACCCTGTTACCTAAGATCGTTTTTTGGTTAGATTTCGATTTCTAGATTAGATTTTCTCTCTGACAACCTGAGAAAAACGCCTGAGTGCACAGCGACCAGAGTCTGTAAATACTTGTATATTGACACCTAAAAGTTGTCTCAAAACCTACATATGTTGTGCACACTGCCATATGTAGGTTTTGAGACAACTTTTAGGTGTCAATATACAAGTATTTACAGACTTACAGCTGGGTATTTCTAATTCTGAAATTCTTACCTGATTTAAGCTTAAATAATTGAACTAACATGAATTTGGTCAATATTTAGTATGGAAAGTTCTTTAAAACATAGCCTTGCCATAACATTGGTCTGTTATGAGGGTCTGAGAATCGCTTTATTAGTTTCTAATTCTAATAAAATAATAATTTTGGTGCTAAATGATTCAGAATTATTAGAGAAAACAGCCTTAACAAACCATATTTTCTGACAAGAACAAAATTCTCCTCTTTGAAGCTAAATATAAATATTATAGCTTCAAATTCAAACTGTTAGTTGCTCAAAATTAATAGTCTGTTCATGAAACTATATTAAAAATGTAATAAGGTTGTTTAAATATTTATCATAATTATCATGTCCATATTATATTTGTTATTATTTTTATTTTTGTATTTCAATTATAATTTATTATCTTATAATTAAAAGAAATAAAATAATTATTACTATAATATAGACAAAAATAAATATGTACACTCTTTTCCTTCCTTTTTTTATACTAATATTATTGTAATCATAATTAAAATTATGAACCGATTCTGCCGCACAACAAACCAATGTTATGGCAAGGCCATGTAATGAAAAACTTTCCATACTAAATACTGACAAAAACATGTATTATGCAGGTTGGTGTGCAGTCAGATAGAAAACCTAACCTAGAAACCGCACAAATGTCAAAAAAACTATCTTAGATAACAGGATCTTTCTGACCCAGCGTCGTAACATACGAGTGACGTTGCAGTTTATGTGTAGCAAATAGACATTTTTACAGTTTTCACTACCAATAAATAAGAATAAGATAGAGTTGCCATGGCAATGCTATGTTATGAGCTCTGTTATAGCAGAATTGCCCCATGAATGCAACTTATGGACGATTCTGCCTCATAACAGACCAATGTTATGGCAAGGCTATATTATGAAGAACTTTCCATACTAATTTGTTCTAAATATTGACAAAAGCCATGTGGTTGCTACGCAGTCAGGCGTTTTTCTCAGGTTGTCAAATAGAAAACCTAATCTAGAAACCGCACAAATGTCCAAAAAACCATCTTAGATAACAGGGTCTTTCTGAACACGCTTCATAACATATGAGTGACGTTATGTGCAAAACTGCCTGAATGCACAGCAAATAAATGACATTTTGACAGTATTCAGTATGATTCAGTAGCATAATGTATGCAAGTTAGAGCGTAACATGGCCTTGCCATAACATTGGTCTGTTGTGCGCCAAAATCGGCCCATTAGTTTCATAGATGGATATATTATTCCAATTGACTATAAAATTATAATAAAAAAAACTGTCTGATATTATATATATATATTTATTATGTCTTACCTTATTAGCAATTTCAACAGTGGTATCAACAAGTTGCCGATAATTCCTTCTGTCCAGGGCCATCCTGTGGTTCCAGAAATGTTTGAAAAAATGTGGTAAGATTTCATCTTTTATATAACTTGCTTCCACACCGTCAGTACCACAACATTGTTTCACCACCTGTAATAAAAGACAAAAAATTAATAATTGGAAATTATTTAAGGAAAGTTAACTTAAAGCTATGATGCAATCTTAGAAGAATAGAATTTGCATAAAGGACTAAATGATAAAATAATGATAATGGGTAGTACTGCCCTAGGGCAGGTCTGTGAGCCGAGTTAAACTCTAACTCGATTCAGGAAAGAAGTATTGTAAGAGTTTTTTTAATTTCCATATCACAACACTGTGAAATAAAATGATATATATAACCAATTCTAGAACATATTTCAAATAAAAATATCTATATACTAGACTTGCACCGAATATTCAGTATTCAACATATTTATTCATCACCTTTTGAAAAACTCTTTTCTTAATATTCGAAGAACATGTTATTGTTATATGTTTATGTTATTTAATAAGAAACATTCAATGGTTACACGCATGTGTCAAATCTATATTCGATAGTCATTCATTATAATCAATCTAAGCATTTCTAAATAAAGAGATATCATAGCCTCTTTATCGCAAAAAATACGAGCAATAGTTTTGGTCAGTTTTTATTTATTTTATTATGATTAGCCTTCCTAATATATAAGAAATAATATTGTATTTATAATAGAATATATTTCATGTTTATGAAAGAAATAATTGGAAATACATTTATATATGTAAAGAATCGTTTTTTTATTTATTTCCCTATTACATATGTTATTTAGATATTCGGTATTCGGCCGAATAGTATAAATGGTGCCAAATTTTCCAAATAAAAAGGAGCAACCGAATAGTTGTTGGAAGTCTAGGTATAAAACTTGATTAAACATGTAGTGCATTAGTAATATAACAACTGCAAATAGTAATTACTTCAACTCGAAAGAGTCTAGGCGCCGAAAACCTGCCGAATATTCGGTATTCGGCATTTTAACCAATATACTATTCGTTGCAAGCCTACTATATACTTTGTATAAGTTTAATTATTTTTTGTCATTTTTTTTGTTATCTATCATACCTTTAAGACAATCTTCTTCATTTCCTCGTCAGGACTCTGAAACTCTCTGATCAGGATCAACATCACTTCCCTGGTGTAGTAATTAGCGTATTCGGCATCCATCAAGGGAATCAAATAACCGATAGCTTTCAAGAAGGCGGCAAGACCTTTACCTCTGTAAAAAAAAAACAGAAATAATAGAAAAAAGGTGGTTCATAGAACTTTAGATGAAATGTTGCAGTTATAAAATAAATGGATAATAAAAAGTTGATTTAGACATAATAAAAGTGCATTGATATAAATTTTAATTCTTCAGGTACAATATATAAAAAGATAAAATATGTTACACCTGTGTATGATAAATTTATTTCCATTTTTATTATTTTTTACTGATTATAATTATATTAATTTTACCTGTGTGTTCTGATACCCTTCCACAACGGTTTGAGAACAGAATCGAAACTTTCAATACCGTAAGGTGTAGCAGCTTCAGCCAATGCAGCAATAGCCAAAGCAGTAATGGTTCGTACTTTTTGTTGATCATCGACCAGGCCTGAAAAAAATTATATTTACATATTTATTGACAATAAAAAGAAATATTTAAAATATTTAAATGCAAAAAGCATTATATTTGATATTTGTAAATAATCAATTTGATTAACGAGTTTGAATTATGTATAAATATTTGAAACCAAAAAACTAAATCTCATTTCATGTCCATTATAAGAATGATATTCTATTCTATAAAAACTAAGAATTTATGATGGATTTTTGGCAAAAAAAACTGCGCTTATGCTAAATATAATGAAACTGCCTGGCCGATCATATGGCAAAACTAATCAAGTTTCAAATGAATTTGATGTATCTGACTTTGAGAAAATGCCAACAAAATGTCTGATCTTTATTTAAACAAGCACAAATACTTTTTGCAATTTCAGTGTCAAACTATCCAGAACGACTTGAAATGCTGAGACAACATCAATTTCTTATTCAGCAAGTTAATAAAGATTATATAATGTAAGTAAAATGATATATTCAGAAACTCCATAGAACCTTTTGACTATGAAGACAAACCATCATTTTCTTTTTTTTTAATTTTTTAAATACTATATATTAAAATTTTAACTGGTACAAGTTCAAAATAAAAGTTTAAAAAATCATTTAAGAAACTGCGTCGCCGATCAGATGAACTTGGTGTTTCTGATTTTGAGAAAACGTCAACAAAACGTCTTTTTTTGTAATTTCAGTGTCAAACGATTCAGAACGACACGAAACGTTGAGAAAAATTAACTTCTCATTCAGCAAGTTAATAAAGCTTATATAGTGTAAGTATGATGATAAATTTAGAAACACCACAAAATGTTAATGGTAGATATTAATAAATAAATGTGGGCATCACGAGTGTTACCATAAACATTATTCAAAATTGTTATATGATGCATTTATTTTTAACTTAAATGCCATTTCATACAATAGCAAAAAAGTTTTACTTCAATCGCGTGTGAACCTTACGCGCACTCTTTTTTTATTATAAAAATCAATTATTCTTGTTATTCATTTACAGATATGAAAAAAATAATTTAAGTAATTTTTACTTACCGTGTTCTATAATTTCCACCAGAGACTTCAAATGTGGTAAAATAGCACAACCCATCAGGATGGCGATTTGCTGAACAATCTTGATACCAGTGTGTCGAGCTTGCCATGACTTTTTACTCCTGCACACGGCTTTCAAGAAAGGCAAGAGGGAAGGAATACCTAAACAAAAAATATCATTAATTGAAATTATATTAAATAAATATTTAATTAAAATATGAATAAACTAGAAAATCTTGGCAAACTCTATTAATCAATCAATCAATCAAATCAAATAATCAATTAATAGCTTACAAAATTTCTTCAAGATATTGATATTATGTATTTCCTTTTCTATGATTATGTAGTTTAATTTTCCACCAATTAAATTCACAAAATTTATAACAAAAGTTTAATTTGAAGCTGGTGACTTTTTAGAAATATTTGATTAATAAAAATAATCAGACAAAAATTATATTCTGTTTTTTAAATTCAAAATGTTTTAGTATATTGAAACTGTAAAATAAATTAAATTAATCTCGGTTCATATATATCAGTAATTAAATTCTAATTTTTAATTATCTATTTCTACTAACCTAAGGCTGAAGCAACAACAGCAAAGGCTCGAGCAGTGGTATTACGAACGTACTCATCAATATTATCAATATCAGGCCTCATTGTTGAAATCATAGTAGCTAAACCTGCAGCCTTTGCCAAATTTGAAATAATCTCACGACCTTCAACACGAGCATAGTAATCTTCATCAATCAACAGAGGTTCAATGACGACCAAAATCTAGAGAAAATAATAAAAAATATAAATAAATAAAAATTTGATATTGATAATAGTAAAATAATATAATAATAGTATATATAATAATATAATATGTAAGTATAATAATATAATATAGTAATAGTATGATAATAGTATTATTATTGTTGTACTCACTTTGTGCACGTAAGGTCTGACCAAGTCGTCAAGTTTATATAAAATCCTGTCAATAACTTTGACCAGCAAATGTCTTTCTTGGTCTTCTAGAGTCGGACTCATAAGTAAGGGCAAAATCTGGTTGAATAAGGGTCCTGCACCGAATTCTCTGGCTTTGTCGGTAATCTAAAAAATAAAATTGAGAGTAAACATAAAAATGAATTGCCATAAATAAACTAAAACAAAAATAAATATAATTTACCATTATATAAATGAAAATTATTGCCACAGGTGTGAAATAAATAAATGAAAAAATATTAACAACTATATTAGTTGTTAAATAGCATAAATTGAATATTTACCTGTCTCAAAGCTGCTTTTCTCATAGGTGGTGTACCATTTTTAATTTTAAGTAAAAGTTTCATGATTTTGCGTTCCTTTTGTTCTTCGGGACTCAAAGCTTCTTCATCAACATCAACCTAAAAAATAACAAACAAAACATTAAGAATTAACATGTCCAGGTTTTTAATAAATAGTGCAATGAGAGTGAAATGTAATAATAGGAATCTTATTATATATTTTTTTCTACTTTGAAATTTTAGGAATAAAAAAAATCTTCCATAATTGAATTGCAACAAAGTTTCACAAACAAATATCAGAAATAAATTTAATAAAATGAAGACATTTCATAATAAATTAAAAATCACTAGTTGTCAACCTAAACATTTATAGAAAAAATTACTTTAGTTTAATTTGCATTGTTTCAGTATTTATTATTTTCAGTATTTAGTTTATTGCAAACAGTAAATATTAAGATTTTAATAAGAATCATATTTTGGTGTTCACAATCACAATCAGCTCAGTAACTACAATTTGATATAAGTTGTGTAAAACATCAGCAGCCTTTATAAATGTAAAAAAATTCTCTTTCGTAATTTGCTATTGATTATATCAACTTCAGTACAATCATTTTCAAAGAACTGTTTTATTTCCACAATAAAAGAAAAGGACGTAACAATCACAATTAATTTACTAAAGTCCAAAGTGACCCCAATAAAATATATTTAAAAAAAATCTGTTATTTATAATTGTCTATTATTATTCTTACCAAAAGTTTATCGAAGTACTGTGCATCTTCCGGTTTCATAAATGGTAAATTTCCTTTAGGTTGTGCATCGACTAAAGTTTGGGAGGCCTGACGATCTTCTTGCTGGATAAAGAAACCATGAGGAGTTGCACCTCCCAATGGGGTTGGTGTTGCTGTTAGTTTTCTGGCTGGTGTTCTTATTGGGATATAACCTGAAAAGAAAAGATAAGTATATAAAATACTAAGTATAAAATAAATAATACATTAAAGCACTCTCTTCAGAAACGCCAGAAAAAGTAATAAGTAATAAAAAGTAGTTTTGTGCGAGTAAAACTAAATATTTTTGCTGCTTTCATTTTATATCAGGATATTAGAAAATAACTTATGCTAATAATATTACATAATTTAATATAAATATCATTAAAGTTTATGAAAAAAAAACTTTACCAAAAAATTTATAAAAACTTAATTCAAATTTAATTCAAATTAATTCAATTATAATAAACAATAAACTCAAGTTTATATAAATATTAGGGCGGGTCGATTTAAAAGTCAAAGAAATCATTTTAGAGATGTGGTTTCTTCGGAAAAGTATCTTATTTTGATCCCTAGTATCCGAAAATCATATGTGTCTATTCCACTTTCTTTTACCCATACAAATCGACTCGCTCTAATATAGATATTTTTATTTTACTATAATTTTTCCATTACCTGCTGGTGGTGGTAAAATTTTATACCCAACAGGGAAGAATGAATCCAATTCATCATCAGTGAACGGTCTGTTTCTCTCATCAATTTCTCTTTCCCAACGATAAGCCTGCAACTGTTCTGGTGTCATAGAAGCCAAGTGCCCTGGTGTGGGTGTGGCCATCACCATTGCTTTGTGACCAACTGGAGTTGTCTGGAATTAAAGTTTAATAAAACATTATTATACAGAAAAAATGTTTTGGTTTAGATATTGAAGGAAATGTCTTACCCCTCCTGGTGTTAATACAGGAGTCTGTTCCGGTAAGCATAGTGATAAATTGAAATACAGATTTTTTATCAATAAAATTGTTTATGAAGCTATCATTTTGTTGTTTAATGTATTATTGTTTAATAAAAAATAAAAAATTATATTCCTACCCCTCCTGGTGTCAACACAGGTGTGTGTCCAGCTCCTCCTCCAGGTGTCATGCTCGGCGTCATAGATGGAGTCATTGCAGGTGTCATGGATGGTGTCATAGCAGGTGTCATTGCTGCACTTGGTGTCTCATCCCACCTGGAACGTCTTTTAGAAGCTCCAGGAGTCGGCGTATCCTGAATTATAACACCACCTCCTACATCTGATGACATGCGATCAGTCCTAGGAGTTTCTGCCCAACCGCTGTTATGACCAGGAGTCTCTGGGGTGAAAAATAAAAATTAACATAAAAGATGCACAACAAACTAAACTTATATTAATTAATTTATTAAATATTATATTAATTAGTATACCTCTTTCAGTTTTTGGTGTTTCATCCCATCTGTTCCTCCTGGATCTGTCTCCATGACCAGGAGTTTCTGCACCTGCAGCACTTCCCAAATGTGTAGGTGTGGCTGCGGCTTGATGCGCAGGTGTAGCGTCCCAAATTCTTGTGCTTTGTCCAGGTGTTGCTCCCGGAGTCTCGGGATACGCTTTGTGACCTGGAGTTTCATCCCAACGATGATCAGCTGGAGTACGCTGGTTATAAAAAATAATATTTACAAAATGTTGATACATTTTATTAGTTTTTTTTTCTACTTACATCTTCTCCCCATGTGGGTGTAGGTGCACTGGAAGGTGTGGCCTCAACAGCTTTCTTCTTAGGTGCTGATGAAGATGCTGGAACAAATTGTTCATCGATTGTTTGATCCCATCTACCTCTTTTACGTTGTGTGACACCTAATGAATCACCATTGCTGCTGCTTGAGTGCTTTTGTAATGTGCCATCTTTTGATTTTTCTGCTATCTTCTTACGTAACTAGATAAAACAGAAAAAAATGTTCTTATAAACTGTTATCATTGTTATTTTATTAATGAAGTGAAACTTCTAGTGTTATTTCAAACAAGTTTGCGTTAAACATTAAACACTTAGATTTTTTTTTTTTTTTTTTAACTTTAATAATTATTACACTGCTAAATTATTAACATCAAGTAATATTGATAAATAATAACATAAAACACTTAGAATTGTATGAAAATATTGCAATAATATTGTAAATGGTATGATAATGTTGCATATAGTCTAAAAATGTTGCAAATGGTATATATGAAAATGTTGCAAGCGGTGTGAAAATTATTGCAAGCGGTCCAAAAAATGTTGCAAGTGGTCTGATAATGTTGCAAGTGGTCTGATAATGTTGCAAGTGGTCTCATAATGTTGCAAGTGGTCTCATAATGTTGCAAGTGGTCTGATAATGTTGCAAGTGGTCTGATAATGTTGCACGTGGTCTAGAAATGTTGCACGTGGTCTAGAAATGTTGCAAGCCATTTGAAAATGTTGCAAGCCATTTGAAAATGTTGCAAGCCATTTGGAAATGTTGCAAGCCATTTGGAAATGTTGCAAGCCATTTGGAAATGTTGCAAGCCATCTGGAAATGTTGCAAGCCATCTGGAAATGTTGCAAGCGGTCTGAAAATGTTGCAAGTGGCCTGAAAATGATGCAAGTGATTTAAAAATATTGCAAGTGGTCTGAAAATGTTGCAAGTGGTCTGAAAATGTTGCAAGTGGTCTGAAAAATGTTGCAAGTGGTCTGAAAAATGTTGCAAGTGGTCTGAAAAATGTTGTAAGTGTTAGAAGTGGTCGGACAATTGTTGCAAGTGGTCTGACAATTTGTTGCAAGTGGTCTGAAAATTGTTGCAAGTGGTCTAAAAATTGTTGCAAGTTGTCTGAAAATTGTTGCAAGTGGTCTGAAAATTGTTGCAAGTGGCCTGAAAAATGTTGCAAGTGGCCTGAAAATGTTGCAAAAGGCCTGAAAATGTTGCAAAAGGCCTGAAAATGTTGCAAACAGTCCAAAAAATGTTGTACGTGGTCTGAAAAATGTTGTCAGGGGTCTGAAAGATGTTGTCAGTGGTCTAAAACTGTTGCGAATGATCTAAAAACGTTGTAGGCAGTCCAGAAACGTAATGGATAATCTAAAAACGTTGGGGGGGGTAGTCTAAAAAACGTTGGGGGGGGTAGTCTAAAAACGTTGGGGGTAGTCTAAAAACGTTGGGGGTAGTCTAAACACGTTCGGGGTAGTCTAAACACGTTCGGGGTAGTCTAAACACATTGGGGGTAGTCTAAACACATTGGGGGTAGTCTAAACACGTTGGGGGTAGTCTAAACACGTTGGGGGTAGTCTAAACACGTTGGGGGTAGTCTAAACACGTTGGGGTAGTCTAAACACGTTGGGGGTAGTCTAAACACGTTGGGGGTAGTCTAAACACGTTGGGGGTAGTCTAAACACGTTGGGGGTAGTCTAAACACGTTGGGGGTAGTCTAAAAACTTCGTAGGTCGCCTAAAATCGTTGTAGGTAGCCTAAACACCTTTTATGTAGTCTAAGAACGTTGTATATAGTCTAAAAACTTTGTAGGTAGTCTAAAAACGTTGTACATTATCTGAAAATCGTACAAACTGTATGGAAATATTAAAAAGTATTTCAAAATGTTGTAGACTATCTAAAAGCATTATATACTTTTGTAGACTAAGCTAAAAACTTTGTAGAATGACTAAAAAATAATTGCAGATAGGCTAAAAACGTAGAATGACAACAATAACAGGATTTAATATAATTATAGCAATAATTATTATTTTATTATTGAAGAGAAACTACTAATGCAACATTCAGGTTACGTTAGAAATTTTAACTTAAAAGATTAATGTTGCAGTTCAGATTGTTTGAAAATGTTGCAAATTGTTTGTAATTATTGTAAATTATCTAAAAATGAAGTAAATTGAAAAGTAACAATATGAGTTCCCTAAAAATCATTTTCTACTCTTTCATATATATTTTTATTTAAATTACGCGCTGTTTTTCTTCCTCATAAATGGACTATATTGTTTTATTATTTACACTAACCTCAGATTCTTCTCCTTTGAGCATCTGCTCTCGCATAATTTCTGTATAGGTCCTGGAACCCACATCTGGAGTTTTTCCACCTGAAAATACAGTGAAACATCTACTTTAATATAAATTCAATAATAAGTTTTTAATTCTTTCAAATTGTTGGAAAAAGTTCTTCTAAATTATTAGTTTAAAGTTAAATTTTAAATTGATTCTGCACTACAAAGATTTTAATCATCGAGAAATAAAAATAAAAACTCGATTGGTGAAATATAATGTGTTAAAATCTTTATATCAGAATCAAATTTAGATAAATGAAATATAAATGCATAGACTGGTTTGGTCAAAGAGATTAAAAATATTTTTTATACATAAAAGTTAGTTGTAAGACTAACAAATATAAACTCGAGGAATCAGGAAAGCATAAATCATCCTCACTGGTGACTCTAAAAACTAATCCTTTTCCAATCGTATAAATTTATATTCCATCCATCCCCATTTTTCAGTTTGGTACGTACGTGTTTGATGTAATCATCTCCCAAAAATCACATAGTTGACACATTTTGTAAATCGTGTGACAAACCTAGAAAAAATCTGGCCAAATTAATACTTCTATAAACGCTTTCTTAACAGGCACACTTTTCATCATACACACCAATAAAATAAATGTACTTGTACTTGAAAAATGTAAGTGAAAGTACAGAGAAAGATGTTGCAACGATGATGAAAAAATACTTGGTAATAGAATGATTAAAATAACTCGATAGGAAAAAGTTTATTGTTCGGTGAAAGTATTTAATTTTTTTTAAAAAAATTCTGAACTATAAAATTAAAAATAGTATCAAGTAATTCATATATATTACAAGTTTTATTATAAAACTATTTGATCATTTTTAAAGTGAAACTTTTAATGCTACTTCTGAAGAGTTACATTAAACGCTTGTTCTACAATGGAATGTAATATATTTTTATTTTATCTATTGAATGTTGTGAATTGTTTATGAATGTTGCAAATAGTTTGTTCGTAAATGTTGCAAATAGTTTGTTTGTGAATGTTGCAAATAGTTTGTTTGTGAATGTTGCAAATAGTTTGTTTGTGAATGTTGCAAATAGTTTGTTTGCGAATGTTGTGAATTGTTTGAGAATGTTGTGAATTGTTTGAGAATGTTGTGAATTGTTTGAGAATGTTGTGAATTGTTTGAGAATGTTGTGAATTGTTTGAGAATTGTTTGATAATGTTGTAAATTGTTTGAGAATGTTGTAAATTGTTTGAGATGTTGTAAATTGTTTGAGAATGTTGTAAATTGTTTGAGAATGTTGTGAACTGTTTGTGAATGTTGTGAACTGTTTGTTTGTGAATGTTGTAATTTGTTTGTTTGTGAATGTTGTAATTTGTTTGTTTGTGAATGTTGTAATTTGTTTGTTCGTGAATGTTGTAAATTGTTTGTTCGTGAATGTTGTAAATTGTTTGTTCGTGATTGTTGTAAATTGTTTGTTCGTGATTGTTGTAATATTGTTTGTGAATGTTGCAAATTGTTTGTTTGTGAATGTTGCAAATTGTTTGTTTGTGAATGTTGCAAATCGTTTGTGAATGTTGCAAGTGGTCTGAGAGTGTTGCAAGTGGTCTGAGAGTGTTGCAAATGGTCTGGCAATGCTGCAAATGTTCTGAAAATGTTGCAAGTGGTCTGAGAATGTTGCAAGTGGTCTGAGAGTGTTGCAAATGGTCTGGCAATGCTGCAAATGTTCTGAAAATGTTGCAAGTGGTCTGAGAATGCTGCAAGTAGTCTGACAAAGTTGCAAGTGGTCATCTAACAATTATATACCCTTTTATTGCAAATTTAATTATTCGTTTATTATTATATTAAATAATATGAAATAGAACCAAATATTAAAATATCTAATTTATATAGTTAAACACAAAATTTAGGGACAGAATAAAGTCGTTTTTTTAAATTGTTTAAAAATTAAAAATCTAAAATAAAGTATGAAACGTAAAAATATGAAATAAAACCACATATTAAAACATCAACTTTATATACAGTTAAACGCAAAATTTAGGGACGAAATAAAATCACTTTTTAAAATGTTTTAAACATTAAAAATCGTTATTGCAAAATTTGTATAACCATTTGAATTAATGATTTAATATTGTATTGAAGTAACATAAAATTGGACGAGATATAACGACGAAAAGTAGTGCCTTAACACACAATTAAAGAACAATAAAAAGTTAAAACTAATTTTCATTATTTGAAAGTAAATAAAGTTAAATGAATGTTATTAAAAATTAAGTGAGAACAACAATACGAGTTCACTAAATATCCACTTCAACCTCTCTACGCATTACTAAGTTTCACTTCAAACAACCAACATGCTTTGACAACAGAATTATAATTTTCTTTAAATTTTGATTGATTTTTACAAAACGTTGCAACAATCTTTCTCGTTTTTGAACAACCATCAGTTGCATTTGCCAATTGGATATTTTTTATGTTTGATGGAAGAGAGAAATAAATCTGTATCATATCGAGATGGAAAATATAATCAAGAATAGAAGGTAAATATTTACTTATTCATATTAATTGAATGGGCTAAAAGTAGCAAGAAAAAATTCGTAAATAACTCAATTTTAACTATTCTTTTAAAATAATATTTAAATATAACTTTTAAATTAGAATTCAAAAACAAATCACAAGTGAAAACTTTTCTTATTTGTATTAATCGAATTGTCTTAAATTTACTGACAATATATTCTGTCCAGGAATTCTTAAATACTCTATCAATTCTTAAATTTCTCATGTATTATCCTTTGTAGTTTATAATTTGCACACTATAAAATATATTGTGTCATTGCCATGGGCGTTAAATAAATAAATATTAAATAAACGCATTTTGTCGAAGTTTATATTTTAATATATAAAAGCAACTTAATTTAGGAAATAGTTAATTTAAGAATTAGTTAGCAAGATATGTATCAATCGAATTGATATTATAAACTAAATTGAAGTACATATATGGTAAAATCTAATTCTGATAGATGGTATCGTAGATTATCAAACTTGTTTATAAAAATATTAAAATATCTGTTGAAGTATTACAACACAAGATACTACTAATTCCTCCCTGATATGATACTGATCCCACAATTCTCTCTCCCAAAAAACATCTGCAAGAAATCAGAGTGTACAATATTATGTCTCTATATCAAATATTCCTGGACCTACTGTTTTATATTTAGTTCAAACTCCTCTATAGTTTAGTTCACTGATGATCTCCATTTCCTGTGGAAATTTTTATTCCACATTAGAAATTTTTTTAAAACTTGTAAATCTTTCTAATTTTGGAAGTTTTTT